GTTGTTTTTTGATTACTGAGATTGACCAGGAACTAAATTTTATTTCTACTCATCCCCCATCCGGCTGAACTTTCGCGGTTAAATTATAAAAGAGTTGTGTGATTCAGAAATTAAAATTGGTGTTTTATTTCCAGTCTGATAGAAACTCCTAATAAAAACTCTAATACCTGGGATTAGAGAGGGCATTAGGAGACATGTATTCCCTCCTTTAAAGACTAATAAACGTTCTCAGATACCTATTAAAAACGTCTGGATACACAGTGGTATCATTGGATCCTTATAAAATTTTGCTTTTCAATTATCACAGATTTTTGATTTCATTCGGTGTCTGATTATAACTCAAAACTCTTTCCTCAAATAAAAGTCAAACCTTATAATACATCGCAGCTTAAACGAGTCTCTTTTAGTCGACGAATTTTTTTCGTATTTACTCTTCCAGTTCCAATATTATTTTCAAAAAACCATGTCTTATTTAGTTTCATCTTTCCTTTTGAGCTGTTATTAAAAGCAGCATAGAAATAGTGAACGCCATTCTGTGGGAGCCCATATTAATCTGTTAAGTGGAGCTTGCATTGGTCATGTTTTTGGATTTAAAGACTTTGTCAATTAATCACTCTCCTTTCGAATGGTTGATTGTCTTGAATTTTAATAGGTCAGGACAATGGAAATTGCCAAGTTATTAAGAAAAAGCATACTCGATCAATCGATTTGAGATATTATTTACAGCGGTTGGGGCAAAATCTCTTATTTTGACGAATCTTTCATACTGTTGATAATGAAAATGAGCCTACAATGCACAATTATCGCAGCTCGATTTTTGTCCACTCCAATCAGATAATTTTTGAGGGCACCTAAGTTTCGCGCTTTCTCAAAATTAATATTCCTCCACTTACTCTCTAACCTTTGGTTTACCAGACTTCGTATCTTATAACTCATCATTGAAAGGTTGTTGTGAAATGTGGTTTCCGTCAATGCAAATTTGCAGGTTCTCCTAAAACTCATTGAACCCGCTACTTGACCACCATATTACGGTATTAATATTTACCAATGATAAAAGAAGGGAAAAAGTACTGTAATTTACCACTTTTTAATAAAGCTGCGCTTCAATAAGCGTCCCACAGGACCCCAACCACTTCATAATTAACGATAATTACCGCACTACCAACAGTTGGGTGCCCCCTATAATTTCCCCTCTTATTCTCCATTTGTCCTCATTATCCTTTTAAGACTTTTTTCCTTCCGTCAAAACACATTTCTTTATATTGTTTTCCCTTTTTTTTTTCTATTTAATTTTTTGTATTCTTGTAATTATTTTCCTACGTCTTATGTCTTACATTGTATTTTATTATTATTATCCGTATCTACCCTACTCCCATTTGTGAGGCTATGTTGCAACAGGCAAGTGGGACGGTACTAACTCGGCCTTGTCTTGGTTAACGCAATTATTCAGTATTTAATATTTCATTATCGGCAATCATTTTTAATTGCGTCATCAGTCAGCTGGAACACGTTTGTGTTAAATGGGTTTTAAATTGTATCCCAATTGGAACATGTATTTGAAACCAGCCTCTGGTTCTACGTTCTAAACTGGTCCCGTACTGTATCACAGACTGTGGTTGGTTGATTTCGAAAACAGCTCCATTCAACAAATCCCTTGGTCAAAGCCTTAAGACATCGTGGACAAGCAATAATTGTAGATTTATCCTTTTAGTTATTTACCGCTTTTTTAGAATTTTAGAGGCATGTAACTTGTTTTACTGTAGTTTGGAGGTTATTTCAATCCATAGATAAACTTTCATTTGAGCTCCAAACAGCTGACATTAACAAGGGTTATATGTTATATATCTATATATAAAATACACAAATGGTTTTCTTCTTTATAGAAAAAGGGCTTTAAGCTGTAGCTAGGGAGCATGAAATATCGGTACAAAGCAAACTATGCAATTGTCAATCTATAAGTTTTCATGTTTGAAAAAGCAATCTTCTGTGACTACTTAACATAAAAATGGCAAACTTAAATACTACTCAGTGCTCCTTATCAAATTTTATAATTAACAATTAATAAACAATTATTTACTCATTATACTAAAACCTATTATAAATAATACAAATCCTTAATAACTAATAAATACTACCTAAATATGTCTAAACTAGAATTTCCTAGAGTGCCTACATTTAGAAATAATTTCTGATCTTTATTAATAATGCCTGGGGTTTTAAGTATGTATAGTTTTCTCGTTCTAGCAGAGGCCACAATGCACCGCTCCGCCTTATATTTCTTCGATTTAGTAATAATTTCCAGTCTATGCTATATTCATCATCTTCTCCTTGATGTCCCATATCTATTTTGAATAACCTCGGTACTCAGTCTGTGCTTTTGAATTCTTAAAACTATCCCGTGTCGATGATTGTAACCGTGTCTTAAAATGTTTTCAGCTCAATCCCATTAGGCGTTTTCCTTGTTAAGATGCCGTTATAACGGTTGTTGGTATACTATGCATTTGGCCAAGCGCCATTGTCCTTTGAGGGGCACTTCGAGGCGTCCTGCAATTACACTCTTTTTCTGGAGCTTTTTTTCTTTCAGATTGTTTCTCTAGGCTGATTTGTTGTGCCCTTTGAGTATCCTTGGAGGCTGGGATATGTGGTCCCCACATGATCCCCCCCTCGGCCTCCCCTAGCATAGCTGAAACCTGTGTTTCATTGATTAATGTTTTAAGAAATCCTATATATTAATACTGCACTATTTTGTACTGTACATATATTGGTATTTGTAAAGGGTTTCCATGTGAGTACACCATAAATGGGTTAATAAAGTCTTTAAGAAAGCTAAAGGACTGAGATATTTTACTTATACATAAAACTAATAAAAACATTAGTTACTTATATATATATATAATACATTGATATATAAAATACAGACTACAGGCTGTACATTAGTTACTTATATTTTAAACTATCAAATACAGACTACAGATTATACATTAGATACAGTTAGGGTGACAAGACTGTTCTCTAAATTTAAACCATAGATTGATTTAAGAGGATTTCGTTAACCCCCTAAGTAAATGAGAGGGTGAAAAATACAGTTAAATTTTGTCACTGAAACAAAAACTCTTAATGAAAACTCTTCTCTAACAGTTTACGTCCTTGAATTTAGAGGTAAAATTAAGAAATTTAAACATAAAATTTGTTAAAACAGAAGAGCCACAACTGAGATGTACAATGTAAAGAAGTATTCTTCCCCCTTCTAGACTTCATCTCACGAGATATGACAACCACCCTCCCCCTACCTCCCCTCCTGATGTTAAACCCAAAAAGTTATTATCAGGACTACTGGAAAAAAGAAGCTTACTGGCGAGAAGAGTTGAAACGTAACTTTAACTTAGCCCACTCCATTATCTATCAAAACATCTTTAAATTGAGCAAGATAAGACTCTTGAGCAACGTAATCAGATGTGTGGTGGGAACTCTCTTTGTTTTTAGAGTTACAATTAATAAAGTTACACAGCATTATGCAAAATTAATCTTTACAAAGGTTGCTCTTCAAAAAAACAGATGTTTTCACCGCCGTGAAAGATAAAATGATAACATCATGGAATTAACGTATACATTTCTTTGTTCAATGTCCATTCACCGTAACGTTTCTGGTTTCATTTATTTGATCATCTGCGGCACTTTGATGTAACTCATGTACCCGATTGCGATTTATCGGGTCCAGTAAATGGAATTCCATAAATGGGGGGGGGGGGGGGGGGGGGGGGGGGGGGGGACATGTCCGCCAATATCTTGTCCTTTTTGGATTCTATGAGACAACGTACGTGTTTTTTGGGACATTAGCGGACATTGGCGTACAAACATTATGAGAATTTTTTGCGCATATGTTGGGCAATCGGAAGGATCCTATCTTAAAAATAGCTTATAATTATATTCATAACATAGCGAGGCTTCTCCTTTGCGATTCAATCTCGGAAAGCATGCCTCCGGAAAGCATGCAAACCGAGCTTGGAAGCGAAGAGCTTGCCTTCAGAGGTACGTATCAAGAAAATTTTCTGAGTGTTTTCGAATGTTTTTCTAGAAATCACTTTTGTTTACGTTTCATGTTACCCTGATTATTATGAGCCGAAAATATTTGTTTAGTTTTTCGAAGTCCGCACTCACCCCTCGATAAACGATTTTGGACTCCAAGCCCCAAGGTTCCCCCTTGTAATGCGATCTCAAAATTCAAGCCTCTAGTCTTCTATGGAATAGGAGCTCGGAAGCGGGGCCCTGCCTTCAGAGATAAGTTTCGAGAATGACTCGGACCGAAACCTTTTTACCAAGTCAAAATTGTTTCCAAAGTTTTTCTGGAAACTACTATTGTTTACGTTTCATGCTACCCTGATTAATATGATTACATAAACATAATTTTTCAACATTTTTAAGTCAACTTTTGACGAAAAATATGCATTTCAGGGTATATAGGAAATACATTTTTAAAGAAATATCCGGCTAAATGTCCCGCTAAATTCCCCTTCCCCCCCCCCCCCCCCCCCCCCCATTTAACGTGGTTGGCAGCAGTGCGCTTATTCTATTAGTTACTTGACTGACGTGTTGGTGTGATATTGAAATACGGAAAGGGCCTCAACTCACAACAGCTACAGGTGAAAATTATGTGATCATGTAGGTGGATATATACGATCAAATGTAAAATCAAATTTGTTCAGTAAAATGGATACAGTTCAGTTTCTAGAAGCTGCTGCATGATCTCATGCCCAATAAAACAGCTGAAAACCGGCCTCACCAGATTTTTTCATTGAGCCTGGCCTATTATAAGCGGCCTAAGAACTTGGGCCATTTGAAATTTGAAATCTTTCGCCAAAGATTGCCATACCTGATACCTCTTACTCAATAGTATTGATATATTTTATTTAACGCATGCAATTGTGAGAAATACATAAAAGTACTCTTTGATAATATGCAATAATCCTTCAATAAAAGTAGATTAAGGAAAGTAGACTGACCGTTTATCAGCGAGATCTGTTTTATTGCCCACCAACATAATGATAACATCGTGTCCACGTTCTGTCCTCACGTCGTCAATCCACTTGTTGACTTGTTGAAATGAACTTGCATCTGAGTTTAGGAGGTTATTATAGGAGTTTTTTCTTGTGATGCAGCATGTGACTTGTCTTTTAACAGATAAAACTTGTGTTTAATATTGAATAGCTCCAGCGAGGGCTGCTCGTAATGAGGCAAGGTGTATAATGTGTATACTACATAATTTATTCCTAATAATAATACCTTTAAATAATGCATAATAATGTATAATACATAATATAGTCGTAATAAAAATGTATATAATACATGATTCCTACACTGCTATAGTGTATACTAAGTAGTCAGTACTCACTAGTGATATCATATACGACGACAGCAACAGTAGAGTCCCTAATATAAGATGGGATAAGACTCCTGAATCTCTCCTGTCCCGCCGTGTCCCACAACTGTAGTCTTACTGTTCGGTCTTCCAGGTACATCGTCTTAGACAGAAAGTCAATACCAATCGTAGCCTGCCGATATAATGGTATTCAATAGATGTGGCTTCTGGTGATAATTTGTGGGACCCTGGTGTGTTCATGTTAGTTGTGACAAATAAAAGGAATATAATATATATAATATAAGTTTAATGTTTTACTTTATTTATTTATTTATTAAAGAATTTGTTTAAATTTAATCGATCCTCGATATCGACTTGTCGAATTCTATGAATGCTGCTGCCACTTTGTAATAATCCGAGTCTAGTTATCTATAAGATGGCTAACTGCAAATCTGTTCTTTGGGTACGGATAGGTATCCAGTGACCACAAGCATTATAGAAGTTCAAATAAGCTAAATACATAACCTGGATGGACATGACAACATAATGATATCATCACACAACAATAGCATAACAATATGTACAGCATAATATATCATACACTAGATAAAGTACAAGTGGACAGGTCTGGCTGTTACAAATTATCTAATTCGTTTTTCGAGCAAGCTGATCAGATTTTAAAACAGAAAAACTTGGTTTTGCGTACCTGATAAGTGGTGTCAAAGCTGTCATACATAAACCTTGTTATTAGAGAGGTTTTTCCAACTGAAATTAAGTTGAATCGTATATTAACTTACATATTATATTAATAAGACATTATTATCGAATACGTAAAGATATCTATCAATAAGGTAACAAGTTATTTAAAATCAATATTATGATATACACCAGTCCGAGCATAATGTTACATTTTGTAAGCGACATGCTTTTCAGTCAAAAACTCAATATCTTAATCTAGTAATCAAACATACCACTCTGTTCGCCGAGGAAGACAACTTTGAATTTTCGGAGTGGATTACTGTATTCAGCCATCTCATTACACCTAAATATAACAAACATGTTAGTGTCAATGTTTTATGATTTTCTACCACTTTTGAACAAGTATAGGATAGTAGTTAGGACTGGAGAACATTATAGGGTCAAATATTATAAAATTTTAAGTGCTGTTTTAGGCTTACATTTCCATTTGTCGGATCATGGTTTTAGACAAAGGGAGGATTTTAACAAACATTTTAATGTGTCAATTATTGATAATTCTAGTCCTAAAACTTTGAAAGTCCGCTGATTCCTTTCGTGGTACTCTGGAATAGAAAACATCATCAAGTGCTTCAACAACATTGATCCTGAAGCATATGCAAGGAACTGTTCGCTTCTACTCAATGCAACTGCCTTTGCAGACGCTTCCAGTCCAGACGAGCTGGTTAATAACTTTCAAAAGCTGTTTACAGACTCCTGGAGATCAAAGATTAATGAGAGCAGGAAACTCACTTTCTACAAGGACGTCAAAACAGTCTTTGCATGGGAGCCTTACCTCGATTATGAAAGAACTCTCGATGACAGAAGATCAACAGCTCAAATAAGGTGCAATTCTCACAGACTCAGCATAGAAATTGGGGGATACGACAACACACCTCTTGAGAGCAGAACTTGCACCTTTTGTGAACTGAAAGGATCAATCGGGATCATAGAGGATGAAACACACTTTATCACTTCCTGCCCTCAAGGGAAGGCTATCAGAGACAAGTTTACCAGAGCTAGTAAAGCTGCTTGGAAAACAGCAATTATGACAACGGACTGACCAACATTGTCAACACTCTCTCTCTCGTACCCAAGATCTTTACGGCAACCTTAACGAAGATGTGAACTTGATTAGACTTTCATGCTCAACCATCAGAAAAATGTACAGTCTGAACCTCAAGCACAAAGACAGCCTTCGTGATGAAGATGGAAAGTAGTCCTTCAGCTCTCTTCTGTTTTTCTCGTTCTTTCTTTCCTTTTCCTTCTGCTTTGGATCTGTGACGGATGCTATGAGCGACTCTTGGGACTTTCCGTCCCTACATGTGCTTCCGGCCGTGCGTCCATGTAGGAACTGTGGGGCCTTCAGAGTGATAAAAAACAACAATTTCAAGAAAACAACAATTTTATTTAGTATCAATTAAAGCAGACAAAATAGGGTTACAATGGTTGTTAGTACAGCAATGGAGCGCTCCATTGGCCCGACCTCCGAGACGGGGTATCCGAGAGGACCCTGGTCGTGACCAGCCCTGCAGTGCAGCTGATCATAGTTTTTCAAAAATAAATGTTGTTTTTCACTACCTGTTATTGGTTATGGGGTCAATCACATATTACGTAATCAGCCTAGGGGGAGGGTGGGGGTTTCCAAATAATTACGCTAGTGTATTTTGACACATTGCATAATTTACACAATGTGTAAATTACGGAGGGGGGGCGAGGGATTGAAAATTGTCCAAAACATGATTACGTTATATGTGAACGACCCATTGTACCCTTAATAAACTATATTATAATAGTTTACAAATAATATCATTTATTCTTTAACATTAAAAGTCATTAACAAAAGTCAGTCAACAGTCCAGGTAGATTTTTAATTTTTTCTGTTGAGTAAAGGATGTTTAAAAATGTGCAGCATTAATTTTACTATAATATATAAAGCGATACGGTATATATTAATGGATCCGTACCATTTTACTGACACCACGGCATCAACTTTAACGCGACTTTCCGCAAAAACCGTAAAAGATATACAACTGAAACCTTTTTGATTGGGTCAAATGCTTTAATGGCTTCCAAATCAGCATGAAAAATAAAAATTGGCCAAGGAAAAGGAGTTGCTCTATTATTATATCCAGAGCCCTTGCGCTTGCAGTAGCGCTTGCAGTAGCGCTTGCAGTAGCGCGCGACCGCCTCACTTGTGAAACAAGCGCGCCCGAAGTGGCGCAAAAGCATATGGATCCTATTCTTCACCTAACCAGGGTTTTTTGGGCTTTAAAACTCGAGTTTTAAAGCCCAAAAATTGTACCCCCAAGTGGTGTTAAAAATTAAATTGTACAACGTTGTGACCTCCACGGTCGTTTCACTAGGTGTTCTTACGATACAGCTAGGGGAACCGTGCACTCGTGCGCGGCGGGTCATACAACGTACGACAAAAATTTGTCAATTTGTCAAACTCTACAGGGGTATAGTGAAGCGACAGTGGGGGTCACCACGTGATACAAATTCCTTCGCAGCTCGGTGAGGCACAGTGGTGCATTTCACCGATCTACCGAAGATTGTGGTTGCAAGAAAAATTATTTGATGCGTGACGCAACCCAGTAGTGCATCGCGCTACAAGACAAAAATTTTATATGTAATAGGTAATAATTATTAAAGTCTTTTGAGTCTTGACATCATTTTAGGGTTATGCGGGTTCCTGCTAACTATAAATGATACAGTATAAGTACTGTTAATATAAACACCACTGACTGATTAGATAAAAACTACGATAAAATGTAAAATCTAAAACTGAAACAAAAAATTGGCGCGCCGCGCATATTTAAATTAACGTGCCGCGCGCTTATTTTGTTTTTAACTGATTTATACCGCACTGTAAAATCGAGCGCTACATAAACAACTAGTTATGTTGAATCCCTTATATTTATTTTCCGATTTACTTCTCACTTTTTTGAATTTTACTTGGGGATCCAAGGCTCTGTATTTATAGACACACCGATTAAAGATAATATTAATATGACTACGAAGCTTAAATATTACCCTGAAGCAATTATTACTTTGAAGAAATTTGCACAAGTTCTTTAAAACAATCTACACCAAATTATGGCAATATTTAAAACGAAACTTCGGTTTTCAGCATAAACATAGTTTTTAGCAAAATATTGTAGGTTCCTAGCAAGTTCTCAACTTTCTGGAGATGGGGCTGATTACAATTTTAACAGTATAAAAATGACTTTTTCCGTTGTGACAATAACGTTTGCTTGAACTATTATAAAGTTTGTAATGTGATGATTGTGGCGATGGTCCTGACGAACAACAATGTACCAATAAGTGTGTATCTGCGCGTTTTGCTCTAGATACACACCTAATTTGTTCAATTTTAGGGAGGGGCACCAAAATGGGAGGGTGCGCCGACAGGGCGCCCCTCCCATATGGGAGTAGCTACTGCTTTGAACAACTGAATTGGCTATCAAGTGTTCATTGTACCATAATTGGTGTCATCAGAACAATTGGTTACGAAATGTCCCTATTATCCATGACAACTCTTGGCATAACCAGGCTGATAGAAATACAAAACGGGGCACGGATCAGTAGTGAAGGTCGGCTATTCGGAACATTTGTTTAATAACAACAATTATCGTTCTGATATCTATTGCTATATCCGTAGTCCCTTTGGTGCCTCAATTTGAAGACTTCTTTGTCAATGGCATGACCTATGAACCTTCAATAAAACTTTTTATCGGAGCTCCTGGGAAAGAAATCCATCATGATCTGCTACAGGAGTACTATGGAAAAATAAAGGAGAAAATAGAAATCGATTAATGATCTAGTTGATGGCATGTTTTCCAATTAGTATGGAGTAGATGTAATTGGTTGAAAGAGACTGAAATTCTACGGCAATGAAGGGGTTTGTCTTTTCAACTTCTTTGTTAAAAAAGACGATCCCTAAAGAATTTGTACGTGGGTTGTCATTTCAATGAACATGATTTGCTTTGCAATGATCTCAGTATGTTACATCTTCATCAACATTTTGACCAGTGCAGTGCCACTTCCAAAGTGCTCACTCGGGAGAAAGCAGGACATGAGATAAGGACAGGAAAAGGAACAGAATATTACAGCGAAAGATATCCCTAATCCAACCAAGAACTCAGGAGGCAAAGGTGGGTGCGTATACTTTTGGTCTGCACTCTCCGATCCTGTATCACCCTGGATTCTTCTCGACGTATCTTTGTAAAAGGTATATACCTTCTAGTCAATCTCTTGCTACTCCAAGTCCCCTAAGATATCTGATCTAAAGTTCGTGCTAGTTATATATATAGGAAATATATTTTTGTTTGCTTTAATTGATACTAAATTCCTTCCAATCAACTCTGTCATCAACCCTGTACTTTATAATGATTTCTTTTCCGTGCTTTTGGGAAGATTTTATGAAAAAGTGTACGGAATTTGTTTGCAAAAAAGAACCAAAGAACCATCAGTACTGATGAGTAAGATCGTGAAGGTCAAATAATAGAGATGGAAACTATTAAGACCTGTCATGAAATACCACTTGATTAAAACTATACAATTTTTTGATAGTTTTTTAATCAAAACTATCAAACTAGTAGTTTTGAGTACTTTACTATTGAAATGAATCATTAAAAAGGTCATCGGATCCATTACAGATTTAAAGTTTTATCCTTATCTGAATATCAATTGGATGTTGAGCTGGATTGTGGCACAAGGTGATAGTGAATCATTTGCTTTGAGTAGATTATCTTAAACACATTGGCTCTCTTTTCGCCGCTTTTTCCAGAGCTAAAGTCTGTTGTTAACTTATTCTAATCTGTTCTATTGTTCAACCTAATGAGGTCTATACTGCAATAAATGATATAATAAATCTATAATATTATGTTAAATCTGTGAATGTTTGAATACAATTTGTGAATGAATTTTGTATCGTGCTAGTTGAAATTGGAACTATTGGTCTATTTATTTGCTAGATATCTATATTTAGATATTTGCTCTATCTATTTCCCCTATTTATTTGATTTATGTAATTAAATAATCACTCTCTTAATTCCATTTAACTATACAACAAGGTGTATTATTTTGTAAGCAAAGGTATGAATGTTTTTGGATAGAGACACCATAGTATTCCAACTCATAATATGATTTGTCTATATTTGACATTCATTGGTGGCAAGGGATGTCAAATGTCAATACCTTATTTGTCATTCTTGCATTTGTACAGTAAATTGTATATTATGATGTGTGTTGTATGGCAGTTCCTAATTCTACTGTTATAATATAATGTATATTAGCTAAAGACTAATAATGACCTTGTTTGTGGTGATTCGTTGACTAGGATGATTATCATAGTTGTATTTTGGGCAACAATGATATCTATATCTAAACTTATTGTGTACTTCTAATTTGTTATCTGTTATGTTCCCTATATTTCACGGTGAATCTCCTTTGTGAGAATAAGGTGCCCCGCCCCGCCCGCGGCCGACCCCACCCCCACCTGCACCCCAGACCCTTATTGTGAAGGAGAGGTGACTAGGGTTATGTAGGCTGTAGCACACATCTAATTATAATCGTTTTAGGATGCTGGCCTGTGATGATTTCTTGGACGATATTGCTAACATCGAAAAACAGTTAGTATTTTTTTAATCTTTTTTAATTGCTATATAGCTATATAAAGCTTAATAATAATATCTTTAGTTTCAAAACTTATAATTTTGTGTCCTTTTATTGATTAAATGTATTAAGATTGGTAGGCACTCCTAATTTGAGAGGCTTTTGTTGCCCACAGCCTCACCACCACACCACTAACACCACATTACTTCAGTTACTACAACACTGGATACAGTGCCGGATGGAGTGCGGGCAAGGAGGAGGGAGAGAGGGAGGGAGGACCTCTAGGTTACAAACAAGGAGCCCTTCTTGCTAAGGAAATACGTTCATATCAGATATTTGCTGAGACGCTGATCTTAAATATTCATACTCCTAACAGGTACAGACGCTTAAAGGGGTTCTTTTTAATCTTTTGGAATCTTGTTCAATTGTGGTTATTGTTTAATTTTAAGCATCATTTAATTTGTATGCAGAAATATGACGTGGCCATTTTTCATGTTGCAATAACGACTCTTTTTTAATAACTCTTATATGAAAATGTAACAAAAATTATACACAATGACAGATTCATTAACCATAGTGCAATTGTCTATTTATTAATTGTGGCGATATATTAAATGCGTGCAGAATTCATAAAACAAACTCAAATTATGTTTAACGCAATGGTCACGCAAATTCTATAACAATGTAATTAAATTAACTTCGAGTTCTTTTTCTAAGCATGTGAAATGTGAATTTGTCACCGGTAAGGTTTTTAATTCAATCAAAGCATAATGTGAACAATCAAAATGAGTTAAAGAAAATAATCACGATCACATTAAATTATTTAAAATCAAATTATCATGCCAAAACTTAAGGATATGTGGCAGCAGCTGTAGGCTCACATGAAAATCCCTTGTAAGAGCCATGTTAAGGGGACATACACCAAAACCTTTTTTGCCGGGACCCGGGATTTGACTTCATATTATGAAAGTATAGATTACAACTGTAAGATTTGAGGAATTGAAAAATTCTTTTGAGAGTACGCACATTCGAAAAAAAAATTATTTTCTTTTTCGAAAGTTTTGGAAATTTTGAGAAGTCTGTCACTGTAATACCGATATTTCAGTAATTTTAAACGATTTTTGGCTGATTTTTTTACTGAACATTATTAACAATCCGTACAAGAAGCCCTGTAAAGGATTTTATAATTAAAAAATAGATGACGAAGTTACAGACCAAACAAGGTCGAGAGAAGCAAAATTGAAATTTTTGTAAAAATCAAAGTTGTATATTTTACCATTCACCCAGGTCATAAGATATCGCTTCAAAAGTTCTTGTGAGTGTAGCTGATGATCATATCCAACTTTTTGGAACAGGATTTCTCTCAATTTTTAGTTTTAAGGTATGAAATGTGGCCTCAAACGACTTAGTAAAATTCATCGTAAAAAAGGGCCAAACATGGCAGATTTAAGGCTTAAAATGCCTATAACTCAAAAAGCATCCATTTTTTTGAAATAATTTTTACAGAATCGTAATCAGCTTGAGAAGACGAATCTTTTAGTACCAAATAGGTTATTTTAGAAGACAAATTGTCTTAAATAATTTTCTAGTTTGAACACAAGGGTCCCCCCTTGTATAAATTTTGTACAAATTGTACACATTTTTTTATAAATTTTGTGTCTTAAACTATTATAAATTTGGTACTAAAAGATTCGTCTTCTCAAGCTGATTACGATTCTGTAAAAATTATTTCAAAAAAAAATTGATGCTTTTTGAGTTATAAGCATTTTAAGCCTTAAATCTGCCATGTTTGGCCCTTTTTTACGATGAATTTTACTAAGTCGTTTGAGGCCACATTTCATACCTTAAAACTAAAAATTGAGAGAAATCCTGTTCCAAAAAGTTGGATATGATCATCAGCTACACTCACAAGAATTTTTGAAGCGATATCTTATGACCTGGGTGAATGGTAAAATATACAACTTTGATTTTTACAAAAATTTCAATTTTGCTTCTCTCGACCTTGTTTGGTCTGTAACTTCGTCATCTATTTTTTAATTATAAAATCCTTCACAGGGCTTCTTGTACGGATTGTTAATAATGTTCAGTAAAAAAATCAGCCAAAAATCGTTTAAAATTACTGAAATATCGGTATTACAGTGACAGACTTCTCAAAATTTCCAAAACTTTCGAAAAAGAAAATAATTTTTTTTTCGAATGTGCGTACTCTCAAAAGAATTTTTCAATTCCTCAAATCTTACAGTTGTAATCTATACTTTCATAATATGAAGTCAAATCCCGGGTCCCGGCAAAAAAGGTTTTGGTGTATGTCCCCTTAAAGGATGAGGGGACCTTAGAAAAAGTTTTTTTTTTCTCGTGCAAATCCTTTTATTACATTAATCGTTTAAACCACTTTAGTGAAATCCGCAAAGTTGTATTTCATTCGCGCGCCGAGATATCCAGCCAAAACAATTTGAACCTGTGACGTCAATTATGTGAGTTGCTCTGATCCGCGCATATAGAAATACAGGTAAAATGAGCGTGCGGGCCGACTAAATTACTAATTAAGAATAAATTAACAATTTACGATACTAACAAGCCTATAACCAATGGAGAGGAGACTTTTTATGACCGGTTGAAAAAAGAATTATCACCCTACGATAACCATGAGCCGAGATACACCTGGAATAAGATTGAAGTCATACAGAAAGGCATGTAAATTATGTATATATTTATAGCTCCCAACGTAACACCTAGCAACTCCCTGTTCCGTACCACAGTTGATATATCAACATGTCATATCAACACAACACGGTCCTAATAAAAATGGATCGGGTAGGTATGAAATGCATGTCTTCATTCCAGTTGGACAAGCACTAAGCACCAAGCTTTTAAGTTCTAACTCACTATGTGACACTACTTATAACGTAAGCAAGATTTGCAACTATTACACCAAGCAATATTATATTTATACCAAGCATAGCAGACGAACACATCCACATTCGTTACGCTTTACACTCAAGTCACAGCAAACTAAAACGGTAAATTATAAATGAGTGTACAACTAAAGGCCGGTACACGCGCAGTGTCAAACCGCACGTGCGTACTCAGATAGGACTAGAGGCGCCAAGGGCCAGCTAGTAAAATGTCTTCTACTACATCATACATTCTTTTTAATTGTGTCCATATCGGGTTTCAAACAAGTCAAAACAAAATAGCAGTTTGTGGTTTAGTTAGCGAGCAAATAAAAGGGTGCGCGCGCACGTTGGTCTTAACACATAAGTGACGTCACAGCCCAAAATTGCTATCAGCCAATAGGAGCGCGGCGTGATATTGCACGAATTATCGATTTCACAGTCCAGCGTATTTTTTGATTCTACACACTTTCACAGGACTTAAACACGAATATTTGGAAGTAAATTCTAAGGTCCCCTCATCCTTTAAGGTCCGGGAACTTTAACTCTATATTAGTTTATTAGAGTAGTACAACAACTACTGATCTTCCTTAATCATGTAATGATGCATAATAAATCATGTAATGAAATATAATAATATATAATAATAACAACTACACACTACACAGCACTATAAAATTGCAATTGGTGGTTAAAGTCTGATGTTTCTACAGTCTACACACATTATTATCAGCACCACGTGTGTTTCAAACAGAAATAAACAGTTTGGCTTTAATCAGTCATATCTCCATTAGTTCAAACCTCCCCCCCCCCCCCCCCCCCTTTACCTGTCTATCTGCACTGGCCACTGCAGAGTCTTCTTCCAGTACCCAACGTATCTCCTCCTCAACTCCTCCTTCCTGCAGATCAAGATGACTGGATAAAGCACTGCGTATATTAGAGGCAGTGTGAACTCTGTGAATCCCACCAACATTCCAATAACCGCTACCTCTTTATCGGAGTAACTTTTATCCTCGAAGTAATTCAGCAACAATATGAGCTGGCAGATAATGTACGCAGCGTTACAGATGAAGAAGAGGAGAGATACGGAGAAGACGGTGATTGAGACCTGACGGGCGGTATTTGGCATCAGTGGGGAAACTTCGTCTTCTTCTTGTTCCCGGAGTGATCTCCTCAGGTGTTTTACTTGAATTATCATACATGTTAGCATGATTAGCGGGGGGCCTAGAAGGTAGACAGCTTCAATTGAAAGAACAATCCCATTGAAGATACTATCACACTTTTCAGTGCGTTCGCCAAACCCATAATATATAGCCACAGCCGTAATTCCTCCAGGCATAACGAACAAAAACTGGTAGTAGAGATAGATGTATGCACCCTGGTGAACAAGATTTGGTATAAAACTTAGGACAATGGCTGTGAGTATGATGGGCGATGGCATCTGAAACATGAAGCATCATTATGGCAAAGCAAAGGCAAGCTACAATTTTCCGTAAGCGCTGAAAATTGATCCTATGAAAAGGATTAGAGACCTTAATGGAAATGGAAATGGTCATCACTAAATTGAACACTTTGGACCAATTGACACCAGGAAGTGCAGTAAGCATGTAGTAAACCAAGATCTTGTAAAGGACAGTCACATCAACCAGTCCTGTGTACACTAGGATACTGGTCACTGAGAGTACCAACTCTCCTTGTGCTCTGAGAATGTCAGACAAGGCAATACCCATGAACAAATTGGGGATTAATTTGTTTCTGTCCTTGTAGTAGCTTCGAAAGATGAAAATGTTATGGATCACAACTATCACACTCAAAGGTATGGTGAGAGGGGCTAGGTAGAAGAATGCTCCTTTGAAGGCAAAGAAAACTTCACGGTCAGAAATATACTGTATCCGATTCATAGCGTATCTGGTGAGTATTTGAAGGTTATGAGAAAATGTTAAACTTTGTAAACAATAGCTGAATAGCTGCAGTTCAATCGGGAGGTTAAAATGATGAGATACTATTAACGTACTATATCAACCATATCCATAAGTGGGTAGGGGAGGTCTAATACGTATACTTTTTTTTCAGTGACAATAATATGCTGACAATAAACAAAACTCATAATATCAAGTGACTGTATTCTGAGTTATGTCCATAAGGTACAAGGTACGGATTCCACGTAAGGATTCCTGCATCAATAAATCAATGTATTATCTACTCACAGACATGTTTCAACCTTATAACAAGAATGTAAAAAAGTTCACTCATGTACCCTTCAAGAAGTTTTCAAAAGTTTTACACAGGTTTTATTATTATTATTAATTACACCATTAAAATATTCAAAACCCCTAAAAGAAATCAAGTCATCCTAAAATGGTGATCAGTACAGATCAGGACAGCTAGAGTTAAAATTTGTTTCTCCAAGCAACTCTATCATCAGCTAATATCTTAAGCTTATTAAGATCATTCAAAGAGTTAAGTTTTAAACCTCTACGGGTCAAATCATTCACAATAATCTTGAACAAATTCTTACGATGCGCACCGACGCGCCCTTTACAGTTTGTTGTGACAGCAAACTTTAACGCTAATGCAGCGGGGGAGTCATCAGCACTACGCAAGATATGACCTAGGAGCTTCCACCTTGCTTTAGGGACACGATCTGATAGCTTTACTGAGTTACATCTTAGGTATAAGTTTGCATTAGATATTGTTCCATGAGGCCAATAAATGTTCAGTAATGATCTAATGTGTTTTCTATGGCAAATGTCTAGTTTTTCTAGTGACTTTGCAGTAGGGCACCAACTACTGCAATTGTACATGATGATTGATACAATTTGGGCTTCGTATACTGCTATCTTTCTGGTAACGGAGATATTCTGCTGAGACCAGATCTTGGTGAACTTATAGAAGGCATTGTTCCCAGCAATGCATCGAGCAGCTATATCACTTTCACTACACAACAATGACCCAAGAATCTTACTCTTCCGCCAATCTTCATTTCCACGTAACATGGTATCATCACGACCAGGGATTGTTTCTCCAACAGGAGCGAGGAAAACATGGGTAAATTCTGTTTTCTCTGTGTTAATGAACAGGTTAAACTCCTTGAAGACTTCCTTGGCTATTGGTAGGATAGCTTCTAAGGATTCTTTTTCCACGTTCATGAAGTTACAATCATCTGAATACGCTGACTCCAGTGGCATACCTTCTTTTGAAACAGGGGGATTGGGTATGTGTGGGGGAGATTCTGCTAGTCGATGGCGTAGTTCTATAAGAGCTCCTGCAAGGACAAGAGTGAAAAGCTTGCCGGAGAGACTGTCACCTTGAAAGGATCCAAGAAGACTCTCGAATACAGCAGATAGTTCTCCTTCCACTCTGACCTTGAGCATGGTGTTGGTTAAGAGGAGTCTTACTAGCCTGAGGTCGTCGTCTGTGCATCCAGCTTTGACAAGGAGGTCAAGTATTGTCTGGCGTTTGATTGTGTCAAATGCTCGAGACATATCTATGCCCATCTTGTGATACTGGAAGTGTTTACGCGTGACAACCGATATCAACATCCGCTCAGCCCACACTAGATCACCACAACTCCTACCATGTTTGTACCCCGCCTGCGTGCTACCAGTGAAAGCATCAACTTTGTCTTCGATTCTCTTCAGTACAATCATGGATAATATCTTACGAGCACCATTTGATAGACATAGAGGTCGTAGACTAGTGACAGGACCGGCTGGTTTGCGAGGTTTCGGCAAGGGGGTGATGATGGCTTCACCTATAACATCAGGAAATGAATTGGTCTCCAATGCGTTATTGATGATCTCGGCATATTTTGACCAGAATTTTGTACTAGCATTTTTCAACCACTCGTTGTAGACTTTATCTGGACCAGTGGCTTTGTTGTTCTTGAGAGATTGGGCGGCTTTCTTTACTTCATCACATGTGATGGGTATGTCTAGGCAGCGTCCATCCCCTATAAATGCTTGAAGTGGTTCATCCTCACACGTGAACTGCTTTTCGTAGTAGTCTCTGATCACTTGAGCTTTACCAGCATCTGTGGCAACAAAGTTACCTTCTTCATTGTGGACACTGATAGTAGATTTGGGCTTAGTGTCAGCTAGAGTACGCACAGCTTCAAACATCTGTGTCATCTGTTGACATGATGGTTCGAGCGATGTCATCGGCACGTGTGTCAGCAAGGTTCTTGAGATGCTTACGGATGTCTTTCTGTAACCTGTTGATCCTTGTACGGACTTGAGTTCTGTCGGCAGCTTGGTTGTTACAGTTAAGTGCAGCTTGCAGGGTTTGTCTCTCTTTTAAAAGGGCTTCAACAGTAGAGTCACTACTGAAGTTACGGTTTCTGGAGCGTGGTAGGGTCCCGATTACTTCATCAGCAGTTGTTTTGAGGACATCCATCAGGTTAGTGAGATCATCATTAGGGTTTGATGTTACCTGAGAGTTGTTGACTTTCTGTTCGACTGAAAGTTGGTATTTGACTTTGGTGGGAAGGTCAGTGGTGAGCAGGGAATTGTTGTATCTCTTAACTACTGAACTTATCTTTTTTGTAGGAAAGATTTTGTAGTAGGGGGCTAGTTTGATCTTACAAGCAACGAGTCTGTGGTCTGAGTTAGTAGTAAGACCGCCATATGATCTACAATCTTGGAACATGAATCTGCTGCGTGTTCTGCACAGAATATAAACACAGGTTTTAAACCTACTATATATATATACTATACATATTGTTAAATTGATGCAGCTTAAAAAGGTGTGTAACACTACCTCTTCAGTCGAATAACGAGAGCATTGGAGAGTCTACGAGACATGTGCTCTACCTTTGTTATAGAGAACACAGAGGATTTGATAGAGAGGTTTAACTCGGTCAAAGCAAAACACAGGCAGGTTAGCCCACACATGTTTCAATTTAAGGTATCGATGCTTGCAGAAACTTCGATTATTCGTCCTTCATTGTGTAGTTCTGTTGTATATACGTGATTGTCAGGAAAAAGCATTTGTTTCATATGACCTCACAAGTCACAATTGTTTACCCGGCCTTGATAATATGTTAACAATTTAGACTGACGAGTTTCACGAGTATTATATTCGTATTTTGTTTTAATCTACATTTTAATATATTATGACCACGATTTGAGCAAAGTTCTGTTTCCCCTTTTTTTGTATGGTTTATTCAGTGTTGTATATATATAGTTACAAATTACAATCTCAGGTATGCTCTCTACTGAGCAAACAACGGAACAATGATACACAAAGTCCCAGTCCTGACATGTCCTTTTAACACACGTGACTCACACGGATACCCCACCTGGAGTCTCAGTCTTGCAGCAATACCGGTTAGGGTTGTCTCTTTTTAGGGTTGTCTGTTTTTAGGGTTGTCTGTTTTTAGGGTTGTCTCTTTTTAGGGTTGTCTGTTTTTAGGGTTGTCTGTTTTTAGGGTTGTCTCTTTTTAGGGTTGTCTCTTTTTAGGGTTGTCTCTTTTTAGGGTTGTCTGTTTTTAGGGTTGTCTGTTTTTAGGGTTGTCTGTTTTTAGGGTTGTCTCTTTTTAGGGTTGTCTCTTTTTAGGGTTGTCTCTTTTTAGGGTCGTCTCTTTTTAGGGTTGTCTCTTTTTAGGGTTGTCTCTTTTTAGGGTTGTCTCTTTTTAGGGTTGTCTCTTTTTAGGGTTGTCTCTTTTTAGGGTTGTCTCTTTTTAGGGTTGTCTGTTTTTAGGGTTGTCTGTTTTTAGGGTTGTCTGTTTTTAGGGTTGTCTCTTTTTAGGGTTGTCTCTTTTTAGGGTTGTCTCTTTTTAGGGTCGTCTCTTTTTAGGGTTGTCTCTTTTTAGGGTTGTCTCTTTTTAGGGTTGCCAGTTTTTGTTAGCTTAGGTTTCACTTGATTTTATTCTGAAATATGATAGTTGTCGTGGTGTCACTCTTGATTTTGTTTAATTTCGTGAATCAATTTTAGGAGTGAATCAATAGATTTATGTGTAATAAATTCAACCAATACATTGTCTCAATTTAAAACATGTTCACTTCTTAATTTATAGCTTCTATGTAGTATGTACAGAGTTGTCATATGAACTTTACCCCAGATCTAGCCCATTTCTAGGTCAATTATATTCAATCCATGGATCACATCACTAATTGTACGTCACTGATTGATGACGTGATCTGACCCCTCTTTGGGGGCCGGATCAGTTTCCGGTCCCAAAGTCTCCCAGTGGTCAAATGATGCAAAGTTCCCGGGTTTATCCTGTGGCACATTAATGATGGAGGATCTTGAAGCGCAATAACCAAATACCAAATTATTGTACAAAGCTTAACGCGCGGCTTTTACACACGTGTTCACATGTTAGCTTTACGTACGTTCGTTCGCTCCTTGCTCGATGAACAATATGTTACATACCGGTTATGTTAAAATGTGGTTGCGGATAGCTTCTAATTGTCTAATTCCACCAATAATGGAGATAGACAGAATATAAAATTTTCCACAGTTAAATCAGATATTTTTGATTTATTTCATCTATTGCGTGGTATCAAATTTATGTTCCATCAGGCATCATCCTTTAAACTGTTCTGAGATTTAATATTGATAGTAGATATGATGTAAGATTTAGAATTATTATCAAATATACCCAAAAATTAACTCAGTAAGATTATTTGACATTTCAAAGACGATTCTAGTTCATGAACTGATTTGAGGATACTCAAATCAGTTCATGAACAAACAAAATACCTCTTTTCGGACTTAGAATTCCTGTTAATATAAAATATTCATATTCAAATGGGAAATTGAAATCAGAGGCGAGGTGATTGATTGCTTTTCAAGTTCATAAAATATCTTTGCTTCCATTTTAACATTTTGCACAAATCTGACTTTCCTGATGAGATTTCGCACTGTGCTCACAAGGGTCACATTCAAAGTTCAGATTCTTTTTGTTTATGGTTAACTCCGATTTTGTATTCACGTTGTCACAATGTTGTTCTCTACTGTATTAAACATATCATGACGTTGGTGTCAGCATTTAGTAACACATAAAACACGCTTCTTTATAATAACAAGAAATCAACTTCTAGTTTGATAGGTGAAAACATTCTTTGATTTACTCCCAAAGTCGAGATTAAAAGATTTGTATAAAATATTAGACATGTTCGACATCAAAGGTGAAAATAAAGGTAAAATAATGTTTGTCCTTAAATTAATTCCGTACTGATTAATTCCATATAATACTGAAACGTTAATTCCATATAATACTGAAACATTAATCGGTGCTTATTTGGAGTAAACATTCTTTCTAAATATAAAATAAAGAACGTTTTATCTTCCGTACTGACTCCTCTTCTTGAGCACAGTTTATTCCAGGCCATCACGTGTTTTGCAGCATGTCGTTAAGTATATCTTCGTAAGTTCATACCCTTTCTTGTCTCCTGAACATGAAGTGCAGCTGATAGTTACTCCTCGTAAAATACGAAAAAACTGAAACATTTCTCGGTTAGACTATTTTGAGAATGCGTGACGGAAGAGATACTTTTTAGACGGTGGTCAGCAGTTGCCGAAAATATTTTATTTGTAATACTGAAAACTGAATACTCACCTTGTGTACAATAATTGTAAATGCGTAAAACAACACAGTACCAGCAAACAGATGGTTTTAGAGCAAACAAGTGGTTAGCTGCATTCTCAGGATTTCGAATGGCGATATATGGTTGTCGACTGTCGAGATACAGTGTATGTCGATATACAGTGTGATTAGCGATATATTGTTGGGTTTAACCATCTTGCTGGAACCTGTCTGTGGCTTTCTTCTGTTTAAAAAAAGATATCTTGGTTAAGGTACAGAATCCTGTTGTGAATGAGCTCTGAAGTTGTGAAGAATAGTGTCGAGAGTCGGTCGAATTATTGCCTGTGCTTGTATGATCTTACAATTAGTGGTAGCTCGTTGGGATGGTTTGTAATTATAACTGTGTCACAGTGTCACTTGTCGGTCGTTTTCCTGACTATACCTACATTGAGTATTTCCCTGTGATGGAAGGAGAATCAAAACAATCGAAGTAAAAACTGAAAACGGCAACATAGCTACCAGTCTTATAGAGAACTGGTGAACCTAAACGTGTAGGTAGGGGTACAGACAAACATAACGAACAACGTAAAATCAATATTAAGAAGGTCATTCTTCTTATCTTCGCATAATATGCTATCAATTTGCAAAACCGCTTAATTTTATCAGGACATTACTGCACACCCTGAACTCGTCGGTATTTATTCTGGCATATTTTGTGTCTACTTGGGTCATGAAATCTTTGTCCTACAGTCATCTGTACCGGGAATGATGACAATTTTTTATTGTTTCTTGAATATTATCCGCAGAATTTTGATTAACGAGCTCGTAAATCGTCACAAGATGCCTATTAATTTCTGAGCTCCGCTTTGATCTTCTGATTAATGTGATTCCGAAGAATTCCCACTGGTAAGAAAATGCCAATTATGTTGTTAAAGTCGAATTACGTTGAGAAATTTCGGGGATGAGGTAATGTGAGCGGGATTTTTACTAGGTACAGGATTAATAATCCTTAATGTGGTAATCTGTGCCCTTAATAGTTAATACAAATTGCCCAAAATTTATTGACGCTGCCATGTCTTTCACTTCATAATCACTTGATTAAGTTCATTTAAGTTATTGATAAACAAATTTCTTGCACCTAAATTATTTCTTAAAACAGATAGTGATTATGATAGCTATGATTTTATGTAACTCCGGTTCATGTACCTCGGACTAACAGTTATGTATTAAAGCCTGCTGTATCAGTTCTCATAATGGAGATGTCAACCAACACTGATGGTGATGTTGGTGAAGACTATTCACTGCTGGCAAAGGAAGAAACAGAAGTGGAATGCAACAAAGAGGAATATGCTTGCTCTGTCTGTGGGGTGATTTTCTCTTTAGGGGACGACTTAATACGGGTTTATAGGGACAATAACATCACTGAAGTTGACGAATTTTTTTTCTCTGATATGTCGGTGAGAGACGAGCCTCATATTCTTCACGGAAAGAATGTAACAGGGACAAAAGGAAATCGCGGCATGTACGAAATCGCGATTTTTCCCATTTTTTGCGACAAATTTTATATGTCATCTGATGTCGCCTGATTGTCGCGGTATCGCGATTTTTGGCCAAAATAATCGCGATTTTCTTTTGTGATTTTCTTTTGTCAATGTAACGAACGCCAACTTGGTTGAAACTGATTGCTATTCTGCTGAAGAATAGAGTTCGAAATCCATACTCTTAAACCCTCTACAATCTACATCCAATGAGAATGAAAAGAGTTTGTCAAGCGGAAGATAAATTTATGATTCCTAGCTGAAGTGGCTGACAAAAATCATGGAGGAGTTCAACGATTGTGCGAGATTCAGTTATTATACAGCTCAACTTTAATTAATATCAATGAACAGTGCTGACACCTTGAAAATGTATTCCTCGAAATATGGATCAGTGTTTCTAAGTCTACACATAGTGCATCTCGCTGTCTTGGCGCTCACCCACTGAGACATTTTCAACCTTTGTTGTTGTTCTTTCCCTGTTTATCTCGAATCTTCGAACTATTTATGTCAAATACCGAGTTGATTGTTTATAAATTAATAAAGCGGCTCGCTTCTAAATTCTTCTGCGCCGATGCATTCGTTCTCATTTATCATTATCTCATTTTAAAAACAGCCATGCCGTTTATTCGTTTGTTCTGTCTCATTTCCTTTATTTAAAGGACCAGTTAACTGAAAAAAAAGTTATCCTCATATTTTGACAGATTGTGACAAATAGCAAACTAAGCAACGAGTCGAAATTCCTAAATCTCTAACTGCTCTCTAACGCGTGTAAATAGCGTTTGTATTATTTTGGCGATGACGTCATAAAGTCCCTCTTGCGCGCAGAGTAGCTCGTGAGACTGTATTTTACAGGTAAAAAATGGACATAATACAATCTTTTCCCCCGAATAACTCGAAAAGTAAGTAATTTAGGGTACATGTTGCTTCATAAGTTGTATATAAACATGGCCATTCTGCACAATTTGCACACATTCAAAAACCTTTAGGGCCTTCATAGCCCAATTAACAAGATACCCATAGTTTTGCATGATTTCTGGAACCGAAAATCAGTTTTTCGCCAATAACTGAAAAAGTAAGCACTTTAAGGCATATGTTTGTTCGTAAGTCATATATTAATATGCTAATTGCGGTTCTTTTGCATCCTGTCTGAAGACTCCATCACGATCATATCGAAAATGGGCTTAGCACCACGCCCAAAATGGTTTTTGGCGAATTTATCGAAAAGTAAGGATTTTAGGCCATGTGTTGCTCAATAACTCCTATATAAACATGCATATGCGGCTTCGTTCAAGCCTATTTTGAAGTCTCTACGACCTTCAGAAGCAAGGGGTCGGTTACGTTATTGGGTCAATATGGGCGTGGCCCTCCTGGGTTTTCTCCACGGTCAAAAAAATGTCTCCAAACGAAAATCGTTTAATCATAACTTTGGGAAGGTCTGTGCAAAGTTTCGTGAGTATTAGAACATTTGCAGGTTCATTTCCATAAATGTCCATAAATGACTGGACTACACAACTTTAGAGTTAACTTTAGAGAAACTCATAAGTCATTTATCTCAAATTAAGCTGTTAGTGTCCATGATCAACCTCTGGCGACAATGTTTTACCAAATGTAAAAATCAGGAGTAATATAAAAAAGGTGTATTTTTAGATTAAAGTGCTAGCTCATAGTTTTAGAATTGTATAGATTAACGTTGGTCATTTAGCCATCTAACAATCGATCGTGCCGTAATATATGGCCAGAGAATAATAGGGTCTTGGAAATTCCATAGTTGTTCAGTGGGTCGATAGACTGAACACGTTTGCACTTGGTATTTAAACTTACCAGTAGTTTATTTATGTTATGCACCGATGATAATGCAATTAGGATAACAACTAGGTAAGCCGGAAGTCTAATTCAAAACACACCTCACACCGTACACACCTCCAATCAGTAATTTTACTATTTGGTAGACCGGGTATTTTGGCGGGAATTCTGTTCCCACGGCACTGTTCTGATAGAAGCTACTTCTACTAATGGTCCCAGAGGAACGGCCGTAAAGTAGCCAGACTTCTTGTCTCCTGTACTGGCAGACACTTGCAGATTAAAGTTAGAAATTTCGCTATGCTATAAATATAATTGCTCTCGGAATTGAACAAACTCCTACTTATCTGTATCCTTTCTAAATTCGTTAGAGTTTCATGGACTGGGGAAAAATAATCGGTACAGTCTCCCTGCTTGTGTAATTAAGCAATGAAAACAATCCAAAATTATCACATATGACATAAGTTGTAATAGCAGAAACTTTCTAACCGTACATTCACCCGCCACTGTTCAAGAACCTATATCACTGTTTAAAATCATGACGTGAGCACTGTACATCCAATCAGCTATTCCTTTAGTTAGGATGATAGCCAAAACTATAAGGATTTTGGAGAACTAGGGTAATAGTCATAATTCTAAAATTTGAGTGAGTTACACGTGTTTTATTGACGATGATAAACATTTGTAACGTAAATTACGCTATGCAAGCGCGCACTGAGGGACTTTATGACGTCACGAGGCCACAGCTTATTATTGCAATAACACGCGTTACACGTACGCTAGAGAGTTGGTTCTTTCGGCGATACGATTCTTTACCAGTTTGTCACAGCTGATTTAAATCTTAGCCAAATTGGAGACTACAAATTTTTCAGTTAACTGGTCCTTTAATGAATTGGGAACTTAAGAGAAGGTCAAAATTCCTCGGAATCTAACACATTTTGGCATTAAAGGTCTCGAACCGGTAAATGTAATCGTAAAAACATTATACAGTATAAATTATAGAAGCTATTTGAGTATTAATCATACTGTTGATTATGGGTCACAAACCGTTTAATGAAATATTCCAACTTACCTTAAAATTATGACTATTACGATGCATATTTCCAATTCCTGTACGTCGCACTATTATTTAGGTATTAAAGACGGCTGTACCAGTTGTTACGAAGATGTCATCCAACACTGATGGTGATGTTGGTGAAGACTATTCACTGCTGGCAAAGGAAGAAACAGAAGTGGAAAGCAACAAAGAGGAATATGCTTGCTCTGTCTGTGGGATGATTTTCTCTTTAGGGGACGACTTTATAGTTCATTATAGGGGGAATCATACTATAACTGAAACTGGAATTGACGAGGTTTTCGTCTCTGATATTTTCGTGACAGAGAAGGCTATCTTATTAGTTATTGATCTGAACATAAAGTATAATTTTGGAGACGTATGTTGATTTTAGCTGAATTTATCGAGTTTGTTTTCTCGAGTCGACTCAGTGATAAGCAGAATATTTGAGATTTGAAGATGAAATGTAACTTCCAATAACAGGGAGAGTGGGATAATCATCTGTAATCTGTATCTCAATTTAGTTTTTATATTTAATTTGTTATAATATAGTTAAGTAGTGCTTTTTATTAAAATCATATTTTGCAGCTTTATTTTAATCCAAAGTGTTTCGACAAATCTTAACTTGATTTAAAAATACAATCGAGGGCGATAACTAGGACTAGACAGTAAAACCAAGATTTAAATTTAATTTGACCAAATTCGACTTATTTGGATCGGTAGATCTACTGTTTGTGTTGAATCTCGAAATATTTAATGTCAAATCATGTTCTTTAAACCATATTACATGTAATAATGTTTTGCAAATATCTTAGCTTTTCAATTTATACTTTTATCAAAGAAGTATAATCTTTGGCATCTTGATAATTCTATAGGAGTCTTGGGTTCTGTGTGTCTCAATGATCGGTGACAAATAAATAAAAATGATCGTTCCACCAAATTTGGTTTCGTGTTTCTTGTTTACCAGCTTTTTTCTAAAGTTTAAATACTCAAGGAATTCAAATGATTGAAAATGATACACTTTACTTCTGATTTGAACTAGATGATGTAAACGAAGCTGGAAACGAATATAATTAAAAGTAATTTAATTTAATTATCTGTAGAGGATACCAATGGTAAATGGAAGAAATCCAAGACATCCTGAAGATAACGTTTAAAAGTCTGAAGAAGAGAGATGCGGACTTGAAGAATGTGTTGGATACACGTTGTCAAAAATGCTGCCGGAATTTAGTTCTTGAACAAAATTTCAAAAGAGGTACAATAACTTCCAAATGACACGTCATTTCACCATAATACGGAAAATTCCTTGATTTTACCCTCTACTTGCAATCTTACCACCAGGGTCCCCTAATTATCTTATCTCCAGGCCCCCTAATTATCTTATCATCAGGGCCCCCTAATTACCTAATCTTCAGGGCCCCCTTATTATTTTATATCCAGGGCCCCCTAATAATCATATCTCCAGGCCCCCTTATTACCTAATCTTCAGGGCCCCCTAATTATCTTATCTCCAGGTCCCCTAATTATCGTATCTCCAGGCCCCCTAATTTTCGTATCTCCAGGCCCCCTAATTATCTAATCTTCAGGGCCCCCTAATTATCTTATCTCCAGGCCCCCTAATTATCTTATCATCAGGGCCCCTTAATTATCTTATATCCAGGGCCCCCTAGTGACCCACCCTCTGAACACCTCTCCCCTCCATCCTCTTGGTCTGTCTACTCTCACTCCAACTACCCCGGTCTATTGGTTGTGAAGGGAGCGTTCTCACCTGATGGACTTACAGATCTACTGAGCAAACTGCTGTTAGACTACCAAGTCAAGGATACATGTGGGGCTGATGTTAGGTTTTATTATTTTCTTTATCTGAAGACTTTTTAGAGTAGAATAGTTTTTGTCAAGTACTAGGATTTGTAATTTTCATCTTTTTACCAACCTTTATAAAGTTAGCTTACAAACTGTAGCACGAGGCACCCACCCACTTGATTTTAGAATGATAACTTTAGATTTCAAAGATTAATGAACGTTAGAAATCTTGTGCAGGTCAAATCTAAGTTGTCTTGGAATAACTTGCCCTGAAAGCAAAAGTTACTGGTCTACTACAGACGATCAACAACATCTTCTCATTGATAAACTCCGCTGGGTTTCAAATGGGTAAGCGTGTCCATCATAATCCTCCACTTCGATGATATACAATACAGTATACAATGTATCATGTCATCTCAATGTATCATACATCTTAATTTTCTAGATGAAAAAGTAATTTGAGATGATAATTGAGAACTTAAATAATGACTCGAATAATTTTCAAAGACTAGGAGTAGGATGCGTTCTTTTGCGCTTACTTTACAGCTTACTTTACAGCTTACTTTACAGCTTACTTTACAGCTTACTTTACAGCTTACTTCACAACTTACTTTATCTGATCTAAACCTACTTTGCAGCTATCATTTTGACTGGACTAAGCGAGAGTATCGGACAGGGTTCAAGTCTCAATTTCCTGACGATCTGGCAGATATTGGTTACAGTGTCGTGAAAAGGTTACAAGATAGTAATTAAATTTAAATTTGCACTATAAAAATTGATTTCAAAGACATAAGTTAAAATAATATCCTCACTTTACGCACTAACACATTAATATTACTCCAGCTTGCATATAATATTAGTTGGTTCTAAAAGGACTATTAACTTTGATTTAGATAGTAGGAACATTCCATTTGTAAATACATACGATTTGTACAATTTAAAACTTTTAGCCTCTGATAGAGCGGGAAGGAAGAAATTGTTATAGCTTGTGTATCAGTATTTCTTTTTTTCTGGCTACTTATCAGATCTTTAAGATGTTCATTTATGTTCTATTTTTGATTTGAATAAAGTTATATAATAATAATATAATAAAAGGGGGGGGGGGGGGGGGGGGGGGGGGGGGGGGCCAAGTGGATATTTGTAGATATTTGGATAATGTCATCCACTTTTTTCGTGAATTATCCATTACAATAATCTACAAATATCTACATTTATCTACAAAACATGTATATCTCAAATATGTGGCCAGAAATTCTACTGAAATTTTGGAGATAAATTTGTAGAATTTGTAGAATTTTCGTGAATTATCCATTGACAATAATCTACAAATATCTACATTTATCTACAAAAAATGTAATCTCAAATATGTGCCCAGAAATTCTACTGAATTTTTGGAGATAAATGTATAAATTTGTAGAATGTCATCCACTTTATTCGTGGATTATCCACTCTACATTAATCTACAAATATCTACAAATATCCACTTGGCCCCCCCCCCCCCCAATAAAAGAGGGGGGGGTGTCACGTCCGTCTATGTCCGCTTGTCTCATAGAATCCAAAAAGGACAGGACATAGGCGGACATAGGCGGACATAGGCGGACATAGGCGGACATAGACGGACATAGGCGGACATAGACGGACATAGGCGGACATAGGCGGACATTAATGGACACCTAAATTGCTAAATAAAATGTTCAATTTTTGCTGTTATAGGGGGGATCATGTTTTTTGTCCGTTCGGTACCCTATATTTTCAAAACGGACAAAAAATAGAGCGGACAAAAACGGACAAAAATGGACAAAAACGGACAAAAATGGAAATAACATTTAGATGCTTCCTCCTCCTACTCTTCCTCCTCCTCCCCCTGGGTCTTCCTGATCTTCCTCAGTCCTCTTCCTCCTCTCCTCCTCAAATCCTCAGTCCTCCTCCTACTCCTCCTCCTCTTCCTCAGTCCTCCTCATCAGTCCTCAACAGTCCTCCTCCTCCCCAGTCCTCCTCCTCCTCCTGAGTCCTCCTCCTGGGTCCTCCTCCTGGGTCCTTCTCCTCCTCTTCATCCTCCTCCTCTTCCTCCTCAGTCCTCCTCCTCATCCTTCTCCTCAGTCCTCCATCCTCCTCCTCAGTCCTCCCCCAGTCCCCCTCCTCCTCCTATTCAGTCCTCCTCCTCCTCCTCCTCCTTCTCAGTCCTCCTCCTCCTTCTCAGTCCTCCTCAGTCCTCCTCCTCATCCTCCTGAGTCCTCCTGAGTCCTCCTCCTCCTCTTCCCTCTCAGTCATCCTCCTCAGCCATCCCCCTTAGTCCTCCTCAGTCCTCCTCAGTCCTCCTCCTCAGTCCTCCTCCTCCTGGGTCCTCCTCCTCCTCTTCATCCTCCTCCTCTTCCTCCTGGGTCCTCAGTCCTCCTCCTCCTGGGTCCTCCTCCTCATCCTTCTCATCAGTCCTCCTCCTCCCTAGTCCTCTCCCAGTCCCCCTCCTTCTCCTCCTCCTATTAAGTCCTCCTCCTCCTCCTCCTCAGTTCTCCTCAGTCCTCCTTCTCATTTCTCCTAAGTCCTCCTCCTGAGTCCTCCTCCTCTTCCTTCTTAGTCCTCCTCCTGAGTCCTCCTCCTCCTCCTCCCTCTCAGTCATCCTCCTCAGTCATCCTCCTCAGCCATCCTCCTCAGCCATCCTCCCCAGCCATCCTCCTCAGCCATCCTCCTCAGTACTCCTCAGTCCTCCTCCTTCTCAGTCATCGTCAGTCCTCCTCCTCAGTCCTCCTCAGTCCTCCTCCTCCTCCTGGGTCCTCCTCCTCCTGGGTCTTCCTGATCTTCCCCAGTCCTCTTCCTCCTCCCCTCCTCAGTTCTCCTCCTCCTCGTCCTCAGTCCTCCTCATCAGTCCTCAACAGTTCTCCTCCTCCCCAGTCCTCCTCCTCCTCCTGGGGCCTTTTCCTGGGTCCTCCTCCTCCTGGGTCCTCCTCCTCCTGGGTCCTCCTTCTCCTCCTGGGTCCTTCTCCTCCTCCTCCTCAGTCCTCTTCCTCCTCTTCCTCCTCCTCCTCCCTCTCAGTCATCCTCCTCAGCCATCCTCCTCAGCCATCCTCCTCAGTCCTCCTCCTTCTCAGTCCTCCTGGCCTCAGTCCTCCTCCTGAGTCCTCCTCCTCCTCAGTCATCCTCCTCAGGTCTACTCCTCCTCCTCCTAGGTCCTCCTTCTGGGTCCTCCTCCTCCTCCTCCTGGGTCTTCCTGATCCTTCTCCTCCCTCTCAGTCATCCTCCTCAGTCATCCTCCTCAGTCATCCTCCTCAGCCATCCTCCTCAGCCATCCTTCTCAGCCATCCTCCTCAGTACTCTTCAGTACTCTTCAGTACTCTTCAGTCCTCAAAATGTTTGTCCGCTAATGTCCACCAATGTCCGCTAATGTCCACCAATGTCCATCCAAGTCCGCCAATGTCCGTCCGGGTCCGCCAATGTCCGTCCGAGTCCGCCAATGTCCGTCCGAGTCCGCCAATGTCCGTCCGTGTCCGCCAATGTCCGTCCGTGTCCGCCAATGTCCCAAAAAACACGTCCGTTGTCTCATAGAATCCAAAAAGGACAGGACATAGGCGGACATAGACGGACATGACACCCCCCCCAAAAGAATAGTAATTAAACTCTTGATTTCAGTCTGAGAGTCAGTAGTGACGTGAAGCCAGACTCAGCAATAATGAACTTTTATCATCCAGGAGATACTCTCTCCTTCCACACAGATGAACTTGAGTGGGATCTGAGCAAGCCTCTTGTATCGATTAGCTTAGGTATGCGGGCTTTTCAAATATATTTCTTATCCAGATCAGTTAAGAATTTACCTGAACAACAAGCTCTGATATTGATCCTAAAAACGTATAAAATACGAATACGACCGTGAAAATTTAGTGTTGTCAATTATATTCGACTCCTCAAATAACCCCTCAAATAACCCCTCAAATAACCCCTTAAATAACCCCTCAAATAACCCCTCAAATAACCCCTCAAATAACCCCTCAAATAACCCCTCAAATAACCCCGCAAATAACCCCGCAAACAACCCCGCAAACAACCCCGCAAACAACCCCTCAAATAACCCCTCAAACAACCCCTCAAACAACCCTTCAAACAACCCTTCAAACAACCCCTCAAATAACCCCGCAAACAACCCCTCGAACAACCCCTCAAATAACCCCGCAAACAACCCCGCAAACAACCCCGCAAACAACCCGGGCTCAAATAACCCCTCAAATAACCCCTCAAATAACCCCTCAAATAACCCTGCAAACAACCCCGCAAACAACCCCTCGAATAACCCCTCGAATAACCCCTCAAATAACCCTGCAAACAACCCCGCAAACAACCCCTCGAATAACCCCTCGAATAACCCCTCAAATAACCCCGCAAATAACCCCTCAAACAACCCCGCAAATAACCCCTCAAATAACCCCTCAAATAACCCCTCAAACAACCCCTCAAATAACCAGGTTTACCGGGAATACTGTGTGTGGGAGGAACAACAAAGTCTGACCCTCCCATCTCCCTCCTCCTCACCCACGGAGATATCATCATTCTGTCTGGACCCTCTCGTCTGGCATACCACGCTGTACCTAAGGTCTTCACCTCATACCATGTGAGAACATGCGAGCATGAGGTGGTTAGTAGTTCAGACTTGAAAAGTGAGGAGGATCACAATGTTGGGTCGGATGTACCGATCTGGATAAGTAAGTTTGTTGATGGCTTGTCTTCAGACCGGTTAGAGAAGATTGATAAGTCCTTATCTGCTGAAGAGTTGAAGGAGAGGATCAGAAAGTTTTTGCCGAGGACAAGATTCAATATCAGTATTAGGCAGGTAGAAAAATATGAGTGAATAAGCTACTTTGCGTCGAAAATAAATCTTTCGTGATTCCATTTCTTTATTTGTTGGTAAAATTGTTGCATTTTTGATCTTCGATATGTTATGCAGTTTTGTATGTTGAATATGATTATATCATATTAAAGTATTAAGTTCTTAATAATGTAATATACAGATTTAATTGATATTTTATTAGTTCATTTTCTTATCACAGTTCAATGTTTCATTACACACACTACGCAATGTATCCCAACTTAAAATGATAGTTACCCTGTTAGTAAAAACAGCGTAGGTATCTTTAACAGAACCATGTCGTGCAACTTCTAATACCCTTTACTTTATAAGCAGAATGGTTCCATACAGTTGCAGTATTTCTTTACCCTATACTTTATAAGCAGAATGGTTCCATACAGTTGCAGTATTTCTAATACCCTATACTTTATAAGCAGAATGGTTCCATACAGTTGCAGTATTTCTAATACCCTTTACTTTATAAGCAGAATGGTTCCATACAGTTGTAGTATTTCTTTACCCTTTACTTTATAAGCAGAATGGTTCCATACAGTTGTAGTATTTCTAATACCCTATACTTTATAAGCAGAATGGTTCCATACAGTTGTAGTATTTCTAATACCCTATACTTTATAAGCAGAATGGTTCCATACAGTTGTAGTATTTCGAATACCCTATACTTTATAAGCAGAATGGTTCCATACAGTTGTAGTATTTCTAATACCCTATACTTTATAAGCAGAATGGTTCCATACAGTTGCAGTATTTCTAATACCCTTTACTTTATAAGCAGAATGGTTCCATACAGTTGCAGTATTTCTTTACCCTATACTTTATAAGCAGAATGGTTCCATACAGTTGCAGTATTTCTAATACCCTTTACTTTATAAGCAGAATGGTTCCATACAGTTGTAGTATTTCTTTACCCTTTACTTTATAAGCAGAATGGTTCCATACAGTTGTAGTATTTCTAATACCCTATACTTTATAAGCAGAATGGTTCCATACAGTTGTAGTATTTCTAATACCCTATACTTTATAAGCAGAATGGTTCCATACAGTTGTAGTATTTCTAATACCCTATACTTTATAAGCAGAATGGTTCCATACAGTTGTAGTATTTCTAATACCCTATACTTTATAAGCAGAATGGTTCCATACAGTTGCAGTATTTCTAATACCCTATACTTTATAAGCAGAATGGTTCCATACAGTTGCAGTATTTCTAATACCCTTTACTTTATAAGCAGAATGGTTCCATACAATTGCAGTATTTCTAATACCCTATACTTTATAAGCAGAATGGTTCCATACAGTTGTAGTATTTCTATACCCTATACTTTATAAGCAGAATGGTTCCATACAGTTGTAGTATTTCTAATACCCTATTACTTTATAAGCAGAATGGTTCCATACAGTTGCAGTATTTCTTTACCCTATACTTTATAAGCAGAATGGTTCCATACAGTTGTAGTATTTCTTTACCCTTTACTTTATAAGCAGAATGGTTCCATACAGTTGTAGTATTTCTAATACCCTATACTTTATAAGCAGAATGGTTCCATACAGTTGTAGTATTTCTAATACCCTATACTTTATAAGCAGAATGGTTCCATACAGTTGTAGTATTTCTAATACCCTATACTTTATAAGCAGAATGGTTCCATACAGTTGTAGTATTTCTAATACCCTATACTTTATAAGCAGAATGGTTCCATACAGTTGCAGTATTTCTTTACCCTTTACTTTATAAGCAGAATGGTTCCATACAGTTGCAGTATTTCTTTACCCTATACTTTATAAGCAGAATGGTTCCATACAGTTGCAGTATTTCTCTACCCTTCCCCTCGGAGCGACTAGCCACTATAGCTATGAGAAGTGTTGCAGCCGACAAGGAACCCAGAAAATCAGGTATTTGACACGTCATGGTATCCCAGAAAGAGACGCTCGGTCTTTTATTTTAGACTTGTTTTTAAGTATTTGTGATCATGGAAATTTCAAAATAGCATTAACATTAATTGTAGGTACATTGATTAATAGTAGGTACATATTCATTTAAACTGTGATACTTGCTAGCTATAGTATTTAAGTAGCAATGATTTAAGTAATTTATTATGCTTTTTTTAAATAAAATATTAAAAATACCAAACCAGGCGTAACGCGTGACCTGAAGGTGAGCGGACCAGTGTTACAGGTGACAATATCCTCATCCGAACTCAGATGTCTCCGAGTATCTGTCGGCTCGATCCTGGAGCTGCTCAAACTGTCGTGTAACACAATGGAAATGTTTGATACTAAATCATGACGGTAACAAAAGGCTCTTAATTATATTTATAACTACAGTTCAGGTACAAAGGATACAGATTTAGACAGCTCTAGCTCTGTTATCGTGTGTTATTGTGTACGAATTTCAGTGTACGAATTTCAGTGTACAGATAAGCGAGACATTCAGCTTTTCTTTTTGTCACACGAAGTCATAAGATTGAGTCGCATATAATATGACGTGCGCGAAGAACTGGTGCTGTATGTAATTTAAGTGACATATTCATTTGTTTATTTATTCGTTTATCTATTCATATTCATTAATTTATGACTGAACGTATTGATTAAAAAGTCCCTGCTATTGTATACTTTTAAGATAAATCGTGTTTGATTGCCTAGCGTCTAGTATGGGTGGGATCTTATAGAGACATTAAATCTCAACCTTTTTAATTTCATTGCAGGTCGAGTCTTGATCATATTACTCAATATTACCTTTGTCTCTTGTAATTTCATATTTAATCCAAGATTGCTGTTTCCATTTTCCATGCCTTTATTTTGAGTCTGAACATCTCTCTCAGGCTAATGTGATGTAATCTGGTTCACCATGTCAGCAAACAACACTCCTCTCACCAATAAATCCAGAAGGAAATCTCTCGCTCAAAAACAAGCTAAGAAGCCTGAGAGACATGTGCTGGATAATCCTTTTAAGATTCGGTGGCCGAGGCATTCTGAAACTGCCATAGAATCTTCACTTTTAGTTATAAAACATCACATTTGTCAGAAATACGGTGCAGCCTGTGTTGTAGACTCATCTTTGAATGAAAACAGAGGTAAACGTAACTTTGGGCATCGCCTGGAAAAGGATCGTGAACTTATTTTCAGTATCAACTGTGTAACGAAACTGTTCGAAAAAGATTTCAAATTTCAGGCTGTTTTTGTGGAAGAAAGTTTGATCCCGACGAGGATATTCGATCACATATTATATTTGTGTGGGTTGAGAGAGGTTCCACTGGTCAAGGGACAAGTCTCTTTATATCTATCATCTTGTCTGGGCAGGAAGAAGGTTGCTATAGCAGGGATACCTGCTGACACAGATGTAACATTCAGTGTGCTAGTTTCACCCACCTTACCGTTTGTTAATATGGATGAGTTGCCAGAATTGGTTGTGCGAATTGAAGATGTGACACCGTCTGCAGAGGCTGTTAAAAGAAAGAGGTTAAAACAGGAATCAAAGGAGAACAAGAAAATTGCTAAGAAAATGGAAGTCGATTAGAATTGATCGAGTGATATGCAAGAAGATCTAAGTTTGTAGGGAACTTAATCGCTTCTTGCTTCCCTTTTTGACAGTTTTTATTCAATTACTCAACTCTTGAGTGATTCTCCACTCTCCAGTTTCCGCAATTTTAGAAATTTGCATCGATCTTGATCCCTATTCTGATTCGTTTTTCTTCTCAAAGGAATTGTATTTGAGTTTCAGATAGTGCCTTATACTCACCACCTCGCTTTTAAGTATGTGTGATAGGAGACCCCCACTAACCCCACCTTTAAGTATGGGTGACAATAGACCCACTAACCCCACCTTTAGGTATGGGTGACAGTAGACCCCACCAACCCCACCAACCCACCTTAAGGTATGGGTGACAGTAGACCCCACTAACCCTAATACCCCACTTCTTGGTATGAGTGACAATAGACCCCATTAACCCCACCAACCCACCTTAAGGTATGGGTGACAGTAGACCCCACTAACCCCACCAACTCACTTTAAGGTATGGGTGACAGTAGACCCCACTAGACTAACCCTAATACCCCACTTCTTGGTATGAGTGACAATAGACCCCACTAACCCCACCAACCCACCTTAGGTATGGGTGACAGGAGACGACTGTACAACCTCCAGTCGTCCAGGGGAGACGGTCACCTTGTTCAGTCCGTCAGTGACGACTATGACGACGAAGACCTCCTCCTGTCTGGCTCCCGACGACAATCACCTTCTTTCAACTACATCAAACTCTGCGTCATAGTCTTTTCTATTGTCGCTATTTTCTCGTCTGGCTTTTTCTCTCACATTTTGATAGTCAGCTTCGGTAAACCAGCCTCAGAACACAAGATAGACAATATAGCCAGCGTTATAGACCCCGCCAAGATAAGGGAGTATCACATTGAACTTACAAAGAATACTCATCTCGCTGGCACGCCCAGAAACTACGAACTTGCCCAGTACATCGCCAACAAATTCCACGACTTTGCCTTTGACAGTGTCGAGTTAAAAAACTATTCAATCCGGTTACCATATCCAGACAAAAGCAAGCCGAATGTGGTAAAACTGTTTGATTCGTCAGGTGTTGTGAGGCACACTTGTAGAAGGATAGAGAAGCCATTGACCGACTTCGAGAAGAATAATCCCACCACACCCCTGTTTAACGCTCACTCTAAGCCAGGAACTGTGAAGGGGCCTGTTGTTTACGCTAACTATGCTTCTAAGTCTGATTTTAAGTTGCTGCAAGATCAAAACATCACTTTAGAGGGCAAGGTCAGTGAAAACATTGCGGGTATTTAGTTTGAAATTTTGGCTGAACTCAGTTTTTTGTTAATTATGAAAGTTGATAATAATAGCAGAAGTAAAATACTGCCCATATCCAAAAACCCGCATTCTCGCATTCTAAGAATGTAGGAAATTTTTAAAAGTAGGAAATTTTTGACAAAAAGTAGGAAATTTGAGAGCCAACTCTGAGAATTTTCGATAATATTTCAGTAGGAATTTAAGTGAAAGATCAGACTAAAAGTTGCTGGACCGTTATTGAAATGTCCTCAGGGATCCACTGATCCAGTCTATCAAATTTCGTTTCACAGACCAAAGTTTGTTGCTATTAGCTACAAAATCTGTGCATCAAGTAACCACTAACCAGATGCTAATTATTGGGGCATTTTCGCGTACACGACATAAATAGTTGTCATTATTACTTTATTAACATTTTACTATCTACTTATCTAGTCTATGAAACCGGATATGTCTACAGAGTACAGTGTCACCCGATATCTGTATTGGCAAGCAGTAGCATATACACATCACGTCTTCAATGTGTGTATCACACTGAAAAATTGAAATCAGAAAATAGTATGCTAAAATCGTTCTCCATTGTCAGATTCGTTCCAGGAGGCCAAATCTAGTTTAAATTTCCAAAATTTTCGGGGGCTTCGCCCCCAAAAGTAACCTAGGATTATCTATTAAAAAGCATTCCGGGCCCTAAAAAAGTAAAATTGAGAATCTGGAATCCGCCATGAAAAATCTTTGAACCGCGCGAATACAAAGACTTTTCATGCGAGCGAAGCGAGCGGGCCACAGAAAACGAAAAAATTGAGAATGTAGGAAATTAAAAATTTTTTGGATATGGGAAATACTGAGCACACGATTTGGCACCAACATAAAGTTGTATACATGCATTGATGTATATACATATAATACATAATGTTATACCTAATATTTACATAATACGCTCCGTCCTACATGATTATAACATATTATCCTCCAACACTACCCTCCCTATAGGTAGTTCTAGCACGATACGGTGGAATATTCCGTGGGAACAAAGTGCAGAATGCAGCTGAAGCTGGAGCCCTGGCAATTGTCCTGTTCAAGGATCTAGCTGACCCTGGAAACAAGGAACGGTTTCCTCTGTCTGAGTTCGCCCCTAGTTCCTCCGGGGAGCGGGGCACTGTCGGCCTGTGAGTTTTATTTCTTATATTTCAGGTTTATAATACATATGATAATCGGATTATAATTTAGATTTGGGAACAGATATTTACCCTTGTGTCTGTAATTCTGTTCTACAAAACTGTCTACTAGATAATATTCGGATATTTTCTTCTACGATCACATCTTCAGTCTGCATTTCTTACATTTTCTACATTCCCTACATTTCCTTTCAGCTCAGACGGAGACACAGACACACTCGGCTGGCCCTCAGTGGAGAACAGTTTCATTAAAGCAGACGGAGAGTTGTATTCAGCTGCTATCATATCACAGCCTATAACTGGAGACGATGCTATGGTGCTGCTCCGAGCCTTACCAGTGAACATGGGTTAGTAGTGGAGATCAATGCAGAGTTAATTAATATAATGCAGGGTTAATTAATATAATGCAGGGTTAATACATCTTTGAATTTCAGTATGAATTTCCTGTATGTTACAATTTTTAGGGAGTTTGATTATTTGCATCTGTCATACATTGGTAATATTTTATCTAGTTAAACAGTATTTTCTGATTAAACAAGAGATTTCAAGATGTCACAATGATGTCACAATGTCACTGCACCGCTCAAATTTCAATTAAAAGAATATCACACACTCATTTTTGAAATTACGTTTAATCACTTGAAAAGTTGAAACGTGGTCTGTGGAGACATTTTTCAAAGTAACTCAAAATGCAGATAAGTCATAAAAGTGATGGTAGAAGTATAATTCTTTATAAAAATAAACCCAAGACTAAGATTACATTACACATACAAACTGGAGAGGACTATAATCCTTTACAGTCTAAGCGAAAAGGTCTTCCGGATCATAAGGTCCTGAGCCCCAGACCTGAACTTCAAGGATATGTAAGTGTTTAGCAAGTTCCTGGTGTAGAATTATCTCTCTGGCATAAGTCGGGTCATTCTCCGGTACATCAAACTGGTAAATGGGTTTAGTACTTATTGCTACACCTATCATTTGAACGTCAGCAAAAATCCGAGTTCCAACGAATTGCTCTGGCAGCAAAATCTTTTTTCCAATTTTACTCGGGGGCACTTGTAATGTTTCTTACCCGAGTGGAGACGCTGATTGTTCTAACAGGTTGTATCCGAAGGAGAAAGACAGAATTGCATGCTCACACTTAAATGTTTATCTGTGGGCGTAGGTGTGGGTCCACTGATGTTTTGTAAGGTGAGATGAGTTCATTAAATGAGAAATTAGCATACTTGGACATTGAAAACTTTTCTCTTTGGGAGTTGTTTCTGGGGAACTCCCGTTTCTTCAAATTTAGAGGAACCTCAAGGGTTGATAAGTATTATGATTTTGAGGGGCATGACAGTGTGGATTTTCTGGTAATGTGTTCGAAAAATGAATCCTCGCACAAAAAATAGGGCTTCACAAGGTGGACAACAAAACCACTCAGCGGTTTTTGTAACTTACGGAAAAAACTCTGTTTATCTCCTTTTTAATTGGCTTCATAACTACCAAAGACATATTGTTTACTTATCAGGAACGCTCGGGATCTTAAACTCCGTCTTGACATGAACCACTTATCTGCAAATTATCGTTATCAATTAATTTGTGTAATTTAATTAATTAATTTTGAAAGTTTAATTACGTAACACTCGAGAGGATCAACAATTTAAAAAATAAATGGCAAGACTGCGAAACGTAAAATCATTCGAAATTTTGAATTTTAACATAATATTCCAGAGAATCAGTTACTGTGTATTTCATAAAACATATAATATCACATTAATTTTTTCTGGGTCTGACATCCATGTTTATGATTGTGAATCGTACAATGTACTTTGTACCAGAAGAAAATTTGGCGAGAATTTGTTGTAAACTAGGTAATAAAACACAAATTCGTTAACTTGATAAAAGTCTTGGATACTGTTAAATGTAAAAGATAAAAATTACATTCAAAACAGAATCCGTTCATTGATAACTTAACTGAGTCAGTTTACTTTAGTACTAAACCTACACACAGAAACTGCAAATATCACTAAAATTGTTAACATTTTGTAGTGATTATACGTACCAGCCCTCAGCAGCTTTTTTCCTCCATTCCCTGTTTCTCAGCCAAAAAACCTTTCCTGGTCCTGCTCCTAACACTCCTCTTTATGAACCACCATCATAAACGGCTTCATCTTCCTCTTATCAGACTTGGTGGTACTTAGCGGTTTGTGGGGGTTTTTTTTTTTTTTCCCCAAAATTTCCCCAAATAATTTTTTTTTTTTTTTCGCTTTCTTCACTCCAAACTTCTTCTTGTCAGGTCTACCTTCTCTAAAACGGTTTGAAGTCGCTCTTCTGGTTTTGCTTCAGTGTTTGTTGATGTGTTCGGATGTTGGTGGAGGGATTCAAGATTCTCCGTCTTCAGCTCGTTCTGGAGAAGCCTTGTCCGTTTTCCTTTTCGCAGTTGTTTACCTGGTCATTTGTACATTTGAGATGTTTGTGTGGATATGGTGTAACCATCATAATTCATAACTGTTGATTATTGGCATATTGACCCAAATATAGATAGAAGTTAGAACATTGAACGGTGACCTTGCTCAATTTGTCACTCGATTTCAATGTTGTGAAATGTTTCACATTTTGGTCATTTTCTTGCAAACATTGAGGGTTCTGAAAACATTGGTTAGTTGTATTCATGACTCCTTATTGATAACGTACACACGGCCGTATAACCTCTGCATCCAGCCAACAGATAAATTATTTCTCCTCTATTCTCTGTATCCACGTCTGTCAGGCTCTTCTCTGTCATCCATTCTTGAGCGTTTCTCTTTACTGAAAATAAGTATCATTCATTTAACCTTAATTAAATGATAATTAAAATTATTTAGGTAGTGAAAACATTTCCAAAAAGGTACTATTACCGGCGGAGAGCTTTTCCGATTTTTTATAAACGGAGACACTACATGCCAAGACTCCTATACTCTTCTATCGCATAAAATAGTGTTTCAAATAAGAAACGAGTAACGATGTGTTGAACATCCATTACAGGATTTTTAAATAGTATTAACAGTGAAGTTATTAACCTTGCTACTGGTTATAGAAGTTGTCTAGAGATCGTTGCCCCGTAGAGGTAGCAGTTTCTTCGTCTCGACGAGGAAGAGTTTGGTACGTTGCCGCTTGCCGAGCAACACATTATTCTTGAGCAGTTCGCCGCCTCTTCTTTGGCATTGTTGGAGGAGGTGGAGGAGAGACGTTTCCCGTTTTTCGCGTGGTTTTCTGCGGTTTCTTCTCCTTCTTATTCTTCTGCTTCTCGTCGGACGAGGCGGTTGAGGAACTCAATTACTGACAAATAAGATGGGAATTCGTGACAACAAACATTAACGCTACGATTTTGAAGTAATGTATTATTTTAAAATCATAAATGGTGGTCGCTAACCAAGATTTGCGTGGCATGAATGAATCTACAACTTTTATAAGTCATTATTGTACATTATCACAGCATCGAATAAGTCCATGACTCGATAAGAAAGGTGGGGTATGCAACGACTTTAATGCCATTAATGACCTTATTGCCATTAATGACCATTAATGACCATTACATGACAATGCCAGTTTTGTCAAAGATTTCATTACTGACATTATGGTCATGTTTTTCCGGCACTCTTAGAGCGAAAAGGACGGACGCCTGCCAGCACTTAGACCCTCACCCGTGAGGTAAGGTTAACTAACTACAAGTATATGTTATTATTTTTCATTTACAAATTAGAGATTCGACAAGAGAAAACTTAGAATAGAAATCTTCCGTGGTTAGGCACAGACCTTCCAGACATATCACTTGCGTGGATTCCAGAGTGAGTTAGGGATTTACATTATTAAGTTCGATTGTAATGAGAACAAATTTTGCGGCCACGGATTTAAACCAGATAACAGTTGGGTGACTTATAGTATCAATAATAATAATTCAAGGGCAATTTAGGAGTATCTGATCGTGATCAATGTAAAATAACAATCAAATAATCAAATAATAATAACACGGGATTAAAATTAAATACTTCGTACCCGGTTTTATATCATATCAAGATTTATATTTTAGCCAAATCATTATGCTAGTCGATTATATAGTATTACACAGTAGGATGAAACTTATTCAACTTTAGCACTTCATGAATACTCGTCATCAGTCCTGGAATCGGACCAACAAAAAAAGCTGATCTTTTCTAGGGATTAGAAAGAACACTCGTTTACAGAACAATACTTGCCTTTGGCAGTTTAAAGTTTTGACCCAAATCGAGCACTGTCATCGTGATAGGGGGACAATTGAGCGGCAGGAATTCGTCTAGATTGCAGTTGTCCTTTTTTGAAGCAGAGACACTCATTGAATAAGATGGTTATCCGAGGCAACGTAGGGGACGGGTTAGCATTTTTTGGAACCAAATGTAGCCACTTACTGACCTTTTCGAATTGTTCGACGTTGACAGGGACTTAGAAGAATTTTTGCAGCCCCGGTTGGTATGGCACTGAAACCCTCGAAACAGCCGGTACCAAAAAATTTTCGATCTCCGACTTTTATTTCCAAATATCGTCTTACGATGGCATGAAGGTACTGTGAGGACGGTATTGAAATCCAAATTATCAAAAAGCAACTCAACACCAAATAAGGAAATCAATACAATGTACAAATCCACGCAAACACTGCAACAGCATGTATACAGTCAACTGCAAAACAAGCATTTGACACTAAGTTCAACTGTAAACAAGCATTTATATACGTCCAAACAGCAGACAGGCCATTTATACTAAGTCAATGGGCAAACAGCCATGTTACCAAACCGTAATAACAGAATGGTGCTTGGCACACATTACGAAACCGGGTCCCGCGAGCTCTATTAGGCGAATATTAATTCGTTTTTCTCAAAACGAGACTCTGGCAATCGATATGTAGGGGGATGTGAGAAACTTTATAGAAGTGATTAAAGTGATCAGAATTGTAAATTTCTAGGCATTGTTGCTTCCAAGATAGTTTCAGAATTTCAATTATTTATTGGTCCATTAATGACCATTAATGACCATTAAAGACCATTAATGACATTTCAGTTTTGACAAATTCCATCTACTGTCATTACTGGTCGTTGCATACCCCCCATAAGGAAATTCCGAGAAATACAGGGAAATTCAGTGATTCTGATTATCTAACCAGAAATAGCCTGCGAGGGCTTTTGAGGCTCCATAGTTTGATGTCCTCTTCTACCCAGTTCTCTCCGGGGCATTCCCCCTGTTATGTGGAGGTTTACAGATACATGCAATTAACAATAATTAACAATAATTAACAATACTTAACATTAATTAACAAAATAATGAACAATAATTAAACAATAATTAACAATAATCAACAATAATTGTTGTTCAAGGCTAATCAATAACATTTAGTCATGGATCACATTATAAAAGAAACACTGAGGACTATTCAAATTGTTGGAAAACGACGAAAAACTATAATAATAACCAATTCACCACTGGCCATTATCAACCCATTTTTGAAACTTTGGTTCGCTTTACGGGCTAAGCGGGTATACAAATAAAGCGTTATTATTATTATTAACCTGATCAACTTTAGTAAGCATTGTTCTGTTGATGGTCCTGAACAAGTGAAGATAAGAGATCTTGCGCCATACGGACACCTTATCCGTTGTGCTTCTTGTATGAGCTAAAACTCGAGGACAGGGCCATGTGATATTGAAAACATGTTAACATGCTTAACCTTGTTTACATTTGTTTACATATGTTAACATTGTAACAGTGTTAACATTGTTAACAATTGTTACTTGCTAACATTGTTGATAATATGATGATGAAATCAGTAAAGTGGTTACATCGTTATACTGCCTGAAAATTGAAATGATTGAAGATGATTAGGTCCATCTAACTGTCAAGTATGTCCTTCTCCATAGCAAAAACACAGAGGACATCTGGAAACATATTCTCCTGACGGAGTTTATCCCCATGCCATCTCCCTCGTTTGGGTCCTGATGGTCTGAAAGGTTTTAAACTTACAATACTACCAATCTATTACATTTATTGAGGACGTACAGAAGGAATTAAATTTAACTGTTAGTTTGAGGAGCCCTCACTCTTCTCCCGTTCCTACAATGGCGTTTCTCTAGTCGCTAATATTTAACTTGTCGATTTGATGCAGTTTTTTGAGAGGATTCGAAACGGTGGAATATTATCTTTGTCGAAGTGAGAATAGACTACAGTTCCAAAACCATAGGAAGCATATTAAGGCAGGTGTTGATTTAATAATTGAGAAGTGATTTGATATTGTAATATAAACATTTAAAGGTGTTAGGCTACATCAATAAGGATGTTTAAAGGTGTTAGCTACACCAGAAATCAAAAGGTTTTTTTTTTATTTTTTTGTAATAAACTGATATGAAAGTTTTAATATTCAAACACTACTATATAACGGGTCATAATTTAGGCTTATGTCCTGAAGATGACGCCTCTGCAACATGTTTGACGATAGCTGTAAATTGATCTCAGTATTTGCAAACAAATCATCTTAGCTTGATTGATTCCAACGGGAGAATTTGAAATTTCCTCACCTGATATAGAAAGTATCTAGCTATGTGTTTTAAGGCGGCTCGTTGACTTCAGGGGGGGGCACTATGCATGACGAAGCTTGAGGCCGGCAGCGCAGCCAGGATTCTTAGTGAGTGCACTTGGGGTGACTAAGATACTGGTATAATTGTGACAATTAAAGCGAATATTTTTTATTTGAATATTTTAATTTGAATTTTTAATTTGAATATTTTAATTTGAATATTTTATTTTGAATATTTAATTGAATTTCTACCCTGACTGATATATTCAGTCACTAATGTCAACAACGGCAGTAATTTTGATAGGTAACATGACAAACTCACTTCTGTAGATAGGGGTAGAAGTTGAAAACAAGAAAAGTTGATGGATTCCCACACTCTAGTCTATAAGCTGCATCACCATCAGCTTTATTAGACTTGTAGTTTGACGCCCTAGCTCTTTGTAGAGTTTCTCGGAAAAACGTTCCTCTCTGGCAAAAATAACATTAACATTAAGGTAAAAGAGCTTTATCTCCAAACTTGTCGTTTAGACGCCCTAGCTATTGTAGAGTATCTTGTTAGGCTGCTTACCGAGTGCATTGGGTTTTTAAATTGGCATGGTGCTTGAAACAAACCAACGATCAGTGACCTCCTTTTAACACAGTTACACAACGCACTGACCAGATGGCTAATCTACCATATCACAAAATGCATATTTATACTAAAATCCACGCTCTATTGGGCCTCGCGGCAATCCCTTATGTCACGTGACGCTCGTATAGCTATGTCACGTGACAGATTACTACAAGTGTCATGTAATTAGAAGACATAATAAGTAAGCCGGTTTAGAAGACTGCATAAGTAAGCCGGTTTAGAGGTAGGGCTTGGAGAAGCTTATTACCACATAATAGCTGTGTGTAAAGTGGCCGAGGGAGGGGAAGAGGAGTTTAACATGGCCACAGAATGGCTTGCGTAATATTATGTGAACAATCCCTAAGTTAATACTCGCCTGAGAGCGGGCACAGTTCTCAGAATAACGGTTATTGAATATGGTGTGGAGGCACACTCTCGACGAACGTTTTGGCGTTGTTAATTTCATATCGTCTCGAATTTTGTGGAACGTCTCCCCTCCTTGTTAAGAATAAACTTTAAAATCTAAAATGTACAATTGTATATTGCAAAAAAAAACTAGTCCTGACCAATTACTCGACTGTCAAACTTTAAATCAACAGACGGTACCGAAATATTGGCTATTTTTGTTACTTTGTTATAGTTATATTTGTCATTAGTTCCTTTAGTCGCAGTGTCATTGGTGTACAGAAAATTCGAGATAATATGAAGTTTACAAAGTCAGATTAACGGTTATATTATCACAAAACATTCTACAATCTTTGTGACTACACGTGTGCGTTCAACCTTGGGGCTTGGCCTTCGTTACTATGATATCTTTGTTAAGAAACTGTTTTTAAAGTCTATATGCCGATTGCCGAACATCATATCAGAGCAACCCCTAATCTATAGATAGGGTAGGGGAATTTGGGGTGCTATTTGGGTTGGGCGAGGATTTAAAACTGACTATCAAGTCCCTGAAGAACACCGCCTTTAACTCACCAGACTCACAGTCCGGACTTGTATCGTATGTTTCTCCACTGATACAAGTCACAGTGACACTCCCTCCCCCCGCACAGCGCACTGTCACACTTTCTCCTGACTCAAGTGGAAAATCAGTTCCAGCAAAGAGCACTTTCCAGTGGTCCGGATACTTGGCACATTCCTCTCCTGGGGGATAATTAGGATAATGATTTTGTGATGATAACGCGGCCGTGTGAAAGTTATTGGAGCGGCACTATGAATTTTAATCTGTTTTGTCTCTGAACTTACGAGGAGTTGAATTGTCGAAGACACCGAGATCCAGTGATCCTCCGTAGTTCCAAACTTGTGTTCTGATAGATTTTGTAGGTTTCCGACAGAATGCGTCGTTATCAGTGAAAGCCTGATTGTGCAAAACTTGTCCCTTGTTCATGATGGTGATCCTGTCGACTGTTTTCTCCATCCTGATTATCGTAATTAATTAGATATGATTACCTGGTACCCACTACTTGGTGACACGATGAAACGAGCTATTGTTTCCGCTCATATTGATTATGGATACTAAAAGTATGTTAAAAATATAAAGCAGCTATAGCAAAACTTGTACTCACACAAGGATGATGTTTACCCCGTTAGATTCACATTTCATAGCACCATCATCCATGTTAAACCAAGTTAACTCTCCACCGTACTGCTTCTTAGCTCCAGCACCATTACAGTAAACGTTCCCTCTTACCTAGTGGAGAATAGAGGCGAATGAAACGACGCTTTTCCCAAAACCGTAAAAAACAAACCAAGCTGGCCCAAAAAAACTGAAAACGAGTGCTAGCCGGGAAACCTTTGAGTTAAGCTGAATATGGCCGTTCTTATCATCTTGATCATCTCGGATGAAGAGCTTGAAATGGACGGATGTTTCGCAAGGGAGCCTGACGTAGAATCGCTCCACGGCTAAGTTTGAGAAATCAGTAGGGACGATGGCAGTTTCCGAAACCGAGAAAGGTATCCATTCCACACCACTCGGCACTGTCAGTGTAAATAGTTAATTAGTTCGTCGCTTAAATGAAGAATTTTATTGGCATATTTATTATTTATGGATAACGACACAAATACAATTAGAAAAGCCATGAAAGGTTATAGCAAAAGTTAAAACTTAAATATTTCGAGATATAATTTTTTTAATGTTAAAACAGGTAAAATAAAAAATTCTATTATAGTTTTTTGTAGATGGCCCCAGATTTGAATTAGTTCACTGATTTAAGGGGTTAGGTGCTTTCATTAAATATAATTCATAAAATTCTATGAATTTTCTTACCGAAAACATTTGCGAGGGAAAGCTGTACCATCATAATCAAACTTATTGTCAGTTTGATAATTAATATCAATACCATCTTATACCTGCATGTCAACAGTAATACAATTAATAAAAAATGTATTTTTTAATGGACAAAATCATAAGCCAATAATATTTCAGACAAATATGCTATTGGGTGTGTAATATCCGGATCGGAACATTCTTTAAATACTATAGGGTGGTACAACCTCGCCGGCCGTAATAATTGAGCTCTGTGATAAAGAGTAATAAAAACAACCCGTCAGCTAACTGTACTATCTACAATTTATAAATTTGAATTTGAATAGAAATGGGAATACTAAGCTATAATTATCTGCACCGCTTTGTTGGCCAGTATCAACCCCACTTTGGGGATATTGGTCGCTTTAACGGCCTAAGCGGTATACAAATAAAGCGTTATTATTATTGTTACTACCGACTTTCTGGCTCATATAACCAAGATAAGATACAATACGACAAGAATGATTTGGAAACGTGCTTAACCATTTCCTTAGACAATTCTAACAGTCCTGTAAATGTGACCATGTAAATGTGATCATGTTCTGAAAGTTCCTTTCATATCGCGTATAGAATAGTTTAACTAATACTGGTTGGTTAAAATTAGCGCTCAAATTAACGCACGTGTTATATGGAGACCTGCTGCCATTTGTTTAAGACCCAACAGTTTCTTGTCAAGACGAAGATGGGGTACTAAGAACCGATTTAGTAAGGTGATTATGCTGATATTCAAACTTATAACATAAACGGCCTATTGATTTATACTGGTCTAAATATAGACAAGAAGAGATAACTAGTACTACGAAATAAAAGAGAGTCAGCCTCATGTAACTGGGCCGGGGGGGGAACTGGGGAGCTGTCATTTTCTACTGACCGTTGTCATTCGTTTCGCCGCTTACGTAAACTTTTGTCCAAAGAAACGGATCATTAGTGCGCCGAGACTAATTAAAACTATACGGGGGGCTTTGCTTCTAAGGGTAGTTAAAAAGCCATTAGAATATCAGCTAGGACAGATCAATGATCTTGATGGTTTCTGCAGCATGTGTTATTGGAGATCAAAATATCACTATCTTATGTATACTATATATAAAGCGAGACGATATGTAGGTATAATGTATATACATGATATATATATATATATATATATCCGTACCATTTTACTGGACACTACGGCATCAACTTTAACACGACGTTCCGCAAAAACCTTTAAAGATATAAAACTGAAACTTTGTTGACTGGTTCAAATGCTTTAATGGTCTTCAGCATGAACAAATAAAAAACTGGCCAAGGAATAAGAATTTTTGTGCCCAAAATTTGGACCCCCAAGTGGTGTCAAAAAACGCGAATTAGATGCAACAACAAGATACAAGGGTAGGTCTCTCCCACCGAAATCAGAAATACCACATCGTTCACATATTACGTAATCAGCTGAGGGGGGGGGTTTTCCGAATGATTACGCTAGTGTAATTTTGACACAATAGCTATGTGTTAAACTGATAACGGAGGGGAGGGAGGTAAAAATTTTCCAAAAATGATTACTTGATATGTGAACGACCCCTCAAAGTTAATAAGGTAGACTGATTGGGTTTAAGATTATCTTCCCAAGCTACCCTGTCTAGAAAAAGTCCAAATTGGGTTCAATTGTCCGGTAGCCCCGAGGCACTATACTAGCTGTAGGGGGGTTAGTACTACGAGCCAGAGAGTGTGTATCACAAGCCGAAGCTGTACCAAATCACAGCCGACTTGCATCCGACCGGATTTGAAGCCGGGTCTTCTGCTTGGGAGGCGATCGTGTTACCACTACACCACCCCGGCCGACGCGAACTAAATAGGTAATAATTATTTTACTCTCTTGAGTCTTGACACCATTTAGGGTTAGACGGGTTCCTGCTCGATACGCTATGGACTCCAGATACTCCGTATTTTTGACCGTAGAATTCGTTAAAAGTGGTCCTGAATAATTAGACTGATTTTACCCGGTTTAAAACCCAATTTTCGGTCCAAAGATAGGCCAAAATCATGTTTGTTTATTTTCGAGCAAGTTAATTTCGTTGGCATATCAGCAAAATTTGCATAAAAGTGTATTAGAACTAGCTGCACAAGCTGATGCTATTAGTATTATTTCATGATTTCCCTGGTCAAAATCCAATCGAATGGCGATATATGGATGTTAGAAAGCTATGTTAGGCTGTACCGAGTGCATTCGGTTTAAATTGGCCATGGTGCTTGTAACAAACCAACGATCAGTGACCTCCTTTTAACACAGTTACACAACGCACTGACCAGATGGCTAATCTACCATATCACAAAATGCATATTTATACTAAAATCACGCTCTATTGGGCCTCGCGGCAACCCTTATGTCACGTGACGCTCGTATAGCTATGTCACGTGACAGATTACTACAAGTGTCATGTAATTAGAAGACATAATAAGTAAGCCGGTTTAGAAGACTGCATAAGTAAGCCGGTTTAGAGGTAGGGGCTTGGAGAAGCTTATTACCACATAATAGCTTTGTGTAAAGTGGCCGAGGGAGGGGAAGAGGAGTTTAACATGGCCACAGAATGGCTTGCGTCATATTATGTGAACAATCCCTAAGTTAATACTCGCCTGAGAGCGGGCACAGTTCTCAGAATAACGGTTAACACAATGATATGATCGATATATATTTATTTGTATATCAGCCATTGGAAACATGTGATATTTCAGCCAAACCAACGCAAAACAAAACCATGAGAGAGAAGTGAGTGGGTGCAGCCACAACCAATGCCATCCTCCATAATCGATACACTCAGGCACGCCGCAGTAGTACCATTAACTAATTAAACTTTGTATGTCAAGTTTATCTTCTTACTTATAATTCAAAGAATTATCTTTGTACGACCGCCCACGTGCAAATCAGATGAGAAATAGGAAGTCGCATAGTAACCATGGTTACACGCACGTGCAAAGATTTGCGAGCGACATTTTAATTGGTGTTGTGGTAATTACATTGTGTTCAGTGCGAGCTACATTTTAATCGGCTGTATCTTCGGTCATGACGGATATTTTTTGATGCGATAAAAACTGACTACCACAGAATACTATTAACTTCCTCCCTGTGACCACGGGCTTTCTAGTACTTATATAGGATCGATATGGTGTGTTGTTGGTTATCAAAAAGTATCTGAGTTCTGACTTTTCTGAAGTTCCTCAGAGGAAATTATGTTTATTACAACTAAAATTTAAAGGAATCCCCCACCCCCTCCCCCCATTGCTAGCACCCCGTGTCTAGTGCCGCTGAAAAATAGACACATTACTTCTTTTGGTGACATGTTAGTACATTAAACTAATGGTCCTTAAATTATTCCAACTTTTATGCAGGGACTAGTAAATATTCACTGATGATGACAGAAAATATTCTGCCCATGTTTCAGAGATTTTGATAATAATAATTTTAATAATTGAAACTTTTTAAAACTTATTCGTTGTTTGATTGCGGGAACTACCGATCTTGATGTTAATGTAATTCTACTCTAAAAACAAGTGCTTGTTAACGATGGTTAACTATTAAATAACAACATTCCATGATTTCAGCTATTTAAGAGGATAGCGGCAGCCCTACCTGGAATGGACTCTGGTAATGACGGTAAAAACAACGAGGATTTAATAGAAGTGAAACTGAAGGACAAGACTGAGCCGTCAGCAGCGGAGGGGGGTTGTTATTGCTAGGAGATATACTGTATCCAGGTTCAGCTGTTGGAGAGTCCCAACCACATCTCATGCAAGATTGCTACCGAACACAGATTTATTATACCGAGCAGACAGTCTGGCCGCGATCAGGGTTTTTAGTGAGCTTATTTTGTATGAAGAGACCGCTACTTCACTATTTTACTTTACCATTCGTGTTGATCCAATAGATTGTTCATATCACAAGCTTGTTGATATGCGGAATGTGAAAGTATGGTCCTGAACAATTGCTGTTTTGTCAAATTATTGAAATGTTGCAGTGCAACGATGTCTCCTAAAATTTTCTTGTTGCACATTGGCCTGTCATGTTTTGACATAGTGCGATAAATATCATAGGTGAGCCGGGCGGCGCCCTTAATAAATTTTGTTATCTTATTTTATCAAAATCTATCATCTTCTGTATAGGATGATTTAGGTTACCCAAGTATATCTTAAGACTGTTATCATTATTGTAGAGTTGTATCAAAATATCGTATTGAAATTTTCTTTGGTGACTGTTATTTTAATTTTAAAATATAAGCCATGATACGACATGAATTTGTTAAAAGTGATACGTCTTAGTCTAATCTTGTATATTGTTGTATGTCATGTTGAAGGAT